GAGAAGGTGGTGCCCCTCCTGGAGAACTCTCAGGAGGGTTGGGAAAATCAGTGGCAGAGGAGGGAAAGCGTAGAGCAGCGTACTGGGCCAATCGTGCGCCAGCGCATCCAGGCCCAGAGGGCAAGCCACGTCCGTCAGGGAAAACCACAGCGGGCAGTGGGTCGACGCCTCCGACGCATACAGGTCCACCTCGGCCCGGCCAAACATAGTCCAAATGCTGGCCACCACCTCCGGGTGGAGACGCCACTCCCCGGGCTGGGGGCGTTGGCGGGACAGAAGGTCCGCCACCACATTGTGCACCCCCGGAATGTAGGAGGCCCTCAAGCTTGCCAAGCGAGGGGCTGCCCACAGCAGTAGCTCCCGGGTCAACCGCAACAGCGTCACGGACCGGGTACCCCCCAGGTGGTTGACGTGATGCACCACCGTGGTGTTGTCGGACCGCACCATGACATGCCGGCCACGCAGTCGTGGGAGGAAGTGCGCGAGAGCAAGGCGGACCGCCATGAGCTCCAGGGCATTCACATGCAGCCGGCGGACCTCTGGAGACCAAGTCCCCTGTGCCATCCTGCCCTGCCACGTCGCCCCCCAACCAGTGAGGGACGCATCGGTGTGCACCACCTCCCTCCGAGACGGAAGAGAGCCCAGTGGGACACCACTCTCGATCCAAGACCTGTCCCGCCAACAGGATAGGGACTCCAGGCACTGCGGCGAGAGCAGGAGTCTGCGTCGCCTGTGAACGAAGCGTGACGGATCTAAACGTAATCCGTTCAGCCACATCTGCATGGGACGAAGGGAGAGAAGGCCCAGCGGCACAACGGCAGAGGCCGCCGTCAACTTCCCCAAGAGGCTGAGGTACAGCAGGAACGGCAACGCCCGACCCCGCTGAAATCTGTGGAGCATGTCCACAATGCCATCGACCCGCAGAGCCGACGGACGGGCGGTCATGGCAACCGAATCTAGGTACACCCCCAGGAAAGTCGTTGCCTGAGCCGGAACCAAATTGCTCTTGGCAACATTGACCCGCAGACCCAAACGCCCAACGTGGTCGAGGACAGTCTGAGTGTCCCGAACGGCCTGGGCACGACTGGAGGCGCACACGAGCCAGTCGTCCAGATAAGGCAGGACCCTCAACCCCCCTGCCTGAAGAGGGGCCAAGGCCGCCGCAACGACCCGGGAAAAGACCCTGGGGGACAGGGACAGCCCGAAGGGGAGCACCCGAAATTGATAATGCCGCCCCCGGAAAGCAAAACGCAGAAACCGCTGGTGATGCGGGGCAATCGGCACGTGAAAATAAGCATCCTTCAGGTCGATGGATGTGAACCAATCGCCCGGAGATATTGCCTGCAACAGCTCCGGGGTCCTCAACATCCGAAACGATATCGTCTTGAGGAACACATTGAGGCCCCGAAGGTCCAAAACCGGACGCAAGTCGCCAGTTTTCTTCGGAACTAGAAAATAAATCGAATAAAAGCCCCCTGGGTCCAGCAGGGGGTCCACAGGCACTATAGCCTCCTTGTCCAGCAAGGTGGCAATCTCTACGGACAGTGCCAGTGTCCTGGCCCGGTCGTGGATCACAGTCCACCTGACGGGGCCAGGGACCGCAGGCCGACGGTGGAACTGGAGAGTGTACCCCCGGGAGAGCGTGCCCAACACCCAGAGGTCTGAGGTGTGAGCGGTCCAGTAGTCCAACTGCTCCCGGGTAAAAGAACCCACCGTCAGCGGCCTGACCTCATCTCCGAGCCCCCCGTGGCCTGGAGACCCCGGGAGGGCGCCCGAGAGCCCGTGCGTTCTGGGGAGGCCGCCGGGTAGAAGGCCGAAATCCCCTATGGTCAGGCGGAGGGACACCTGGTGGCCGCGAACCCCTAGGAAAGGGCTGTGGAACACCATACACCCGCGGAGTAGCAGCAGGAGGGGCAACCCGTGGAGAGGCCCGCCGGTGCAGCCCAACCAGCTGGTCACGCGTCGGGTGGCCTGCGCCGTGCGCTCCAGCGCCTGAAGCGCAGCCGCACCGAAGAGCTCCCCCGGAAGCACCGGAACACTCCGGAGAGTCCTCCTACAGGGCTCAGTGAGGGGTGACTGTGCCAACCACACCTGCCGACGTGTCTGAGTCAGGGTCGACAGCAGGCGGCCCAGTTCCCGCGACATAAGGGCAAAAGCGTGGAGGGATGCATCCAACAGTCCCTGGGTCGGGGCATCGACTGTAGAAACCTCCAGTGCGTTCGAAAGGCCCAGTAACAAATGGGAAAGAGAGTTCCCCATGCGCCCCATTCGCGCCCCAGTATCGTACGCCCGACACAGCAGCTCATCTGTGAGGCGACACTGGGGGTTAGGGCACCTCGGATCAGACCGGAGGGCCTCCTCCGGCGAAACAATCAAGGAGGCCACTGCCGGCTCGACGGGCGGCATGTGGCCCAAGCCAAATTTGGGGGCATCCTGCATTGAAGCCAAAGCCCGGCCATCGGACGTCAGTCTGGACATAGCCTTTGTATCCGTCCAGCATGCATGTAACTCCTTCACGTACTCTATCGAAGGAGGCACAGAGACAGAGGGAAGGGGCCGCTGTCGCTTAAAGAAGGCGCTACCAGACGGCACAGTTCCCTGCGGGACATCAAGCCCCAAGTGGGCGAGTGCAGAGCGGACGGCAGAGGACGCCCCACTCTCCTCTCCGTCCAGGCACCCCGTGGACGCCAAGGAACCAGCGTCAGAGGCCCTGGAATCAACCTCCTCAGGGTCAAGACAAAAATGAGTGTCAGATGCAGCCACAGACATCACATCGTCCTCCCACAACGGGGCCAGGTCCGGCACAGGAGGGCCCAGCACATGTTCCCCCGAAACCGGGCGAACATCCTGCAGAAGTGCCTTCATTTGGGCCATCTCGGACGCAAGGTGGTCCATCCGTGCAGACAACCCTGCAGGCACCCTACGCTTCCTCTGCGGAGCCGAGGAAGCAGTGGACACAGCCGCACGCTTAGACCCAGAGGGCTGGGCAGCAGGTGGCAGGCAGGGCGGCACCTCCGAAGAGCCCTCATCCGGATCCAGGGCCGCCAGGCGCTCCACGCGTACAGAGAGTGGCAGTACCGCACAATTGGAGCAGGCGTCCACCGTCAGGCCCTGTCTCAAATGCCCGATACCCAGGCACGCAGGGCAGAGGTCATGGCCATCCTCGCGGGGCATCGGTGCCATGCACCCACGACAGCCCAGCGACTCGTGCATAACGAGCGCGCCTGAACTGGTGGAGCAATGTAAGCAGAGTCGGGTCGAGCTGAAAACGCCACAGACGACTCAAGCACACAGAGAAAACCAAACAACCGAACAGAGGGCGAACAGTCTAACTGTTGGTAAAGAAAAACTAATGTTAGCATAAACTGAAAACAGAAGAGCCAACGAAAGTGTACAAACACACAATGTGGGCCAACGAAAGAGTCCGGTGGGGCAGAGAACGCCACACTCGCCTCCACAACCAGAGCAATATCAACAAACTGAACAGAAATCGAACAGTATAACTGCTGATATAAAAATACGCTAGTACAAACTGAAAACAGAAGACTAGACGAAATAATGCACACACGCACCCAACGTGGGCTGAGTAAAGAGCCAGGTGTGGCAGAGGACACCACCCACGGCTCCCCAAACAGAGCAAAAGTAACACACTGAACAGAGGACGAACAGTATAACTGTTGATAGATGAAACAAAACGCTAGTACACACTGAAAACAGGAGACTAGACGAAAATGTACACACAAACACAACGTGGTCGGGGCAGGGAACGCCACACACACGACTCATTTAACACCGGCCAAACAGAGCATAAACACAAACTGAACAGAAAACTAACAGTATAACCGTGGACATCAAACGTCAGCTCACTCCGAAAACGGAAAGCTTAAACTAAAAATCACACGCACACACGTGGACAGAACTCACCGGTGAGCCAGCGGAGCTTGCACAGCCCCTGAGGGGCGAGATCCACCCGCTGCCTCGACGCGAGTCACGGAGCTGATGTGCAAGCAGGACGTATGTGGTAGGTAGGTAGCACAAACGCTCAAACACACACGCACAACTCAAACCTGCGCTGCGAGAAGAAGAAAAGAGGCTGGGCTCTCGTGTCACGTGACCTATATAGACTCACGGGGGTCACGAGGAGGTCACAAGTGACTTTGTTGTCATTTAATTTTCGAACTGCGCATGCTCAAAGATGATCATTCAGTGCTTAAAGCACCGCCTCTGGCGGTCAGGAAGGATGAAATAGAACCATGAATCCTCTCTGCTCTGGTCTGGACCAGTGTAAAACCATGAATCCTCTGTGCTCTGGTCTGGACCAGTGTAAAACCATGAATCCTCTCTGCTCTGGTCTGGACCAGTGTAAAACCATGAATCCTCTCTGCTCTGGTCTGGACCAGTGTAAAACCATGAATCCTCTCTGCTCTGGTCTGGACCAGTGTAAAACCATGAATCCTCTCTGCTCTGGTCTGGACCAGTGTAAAACCATGAATCCTCTCTGCTCTGGTCTGGACCAGTGTAAAACCATGAATCCTCTCTGCTCTGGTCTGGACCAGTGTAAAACCATGAATCCTCTCTGCTCTGGTCTGGACCAGTGTAAAACCATGAATCCTCTCTGCTCTGGTCTGGACCAGTGTAAAACCATGAATCCTCTCTGCTCTGGTCTGGACCAGTGTAAAACCATGAATCCTCTCTGCTCTGGTCTGGACCAGTGTAAAACCATGAACACTGAACTGCAGCAACATCTCAGGTAGAAAAAGCTGAAAAATAACATTTGTAAAACACAAAACTACTGTTTCTGAGCTTTTAGGACTTGCTGCAGTTTCCAGCGCATTCAAAAGTAAACACAGAGTTCCCTCAAAGTGAACGTGAACTTGCCCCAGACCTAAACCAGACCTAAACCAGACCTAAACCAGACCTAAACCAGACCTAAACCAGACCTAAACCAGAGCATGTGTGGGTCCGGAGCCTGCCCTGACGCTGTGTGCTGTGTTCTTCAGGTGAGTGTGCTGGTCCCCATGGCGTACCTTCTCTTCTGGGCCGTGCTGCTGTGCTTCAGTCTCTACTCGGAGCCAGTGGTGTGTGGCCTGGGCATGGTCATCATGCTGACTGGTGTCCCGGTCTACTTCCTCGGAGTTCACTGGAAAAACAAACCAAAGTGGATTTACAGAGCAGTCGGTGAGTTTCCATGTTATACTAAACCTTTATTATCAAAAGAACTGTTTTCTGCCAAAGAGAAAGAGAAGAGAGCTGCAAAATTCTTAACACGGCTTTTTTTGAGTTTGTTATATTCATTAAGTTTTATATTTTACAAAGCTGCACATGGAAAAAAGTACAAATTGAAAAAATCTCCCCTGCCCCACCCCTAAATAAATAGATAGATAGAATTAGATCCATTAAACAAGTCTACACTTTGTGGCCATTACAACTCCACAATTCCAGATGGTTTAGCCAAAAAATTACAAAAAATAATTTCCAGACCTCATCAAATTTCCTTTCTGAACCTCTCTAAACAAATGTAATTTTCTGCAATTTAAGATGAAATAATGCATCTTTGATCCAAGGTGAGGCAGTAGGAGGAGCAGCATCCACATCCACCTGAACAAAAACAATAAATACAATACAATAAAAACAATCATATTTTTTAATAACAGAAATGAAGCATACACATGGAATAATAATAAGTGTGTAACAGGGTGTGACATGTGTGGATTATAACCATAAATCTACATCCTGGTAATTCAAACAAGCGTCACAGAAGCGCCAACTCCCAACAGCTCTGGACCGGTCCTCAGGTCCGGGGGGTCCAGGGTTCTAGTCCCACCAGAGCCTTCATGGAACAGACAGAAGGACAAACAGCACAGACCACATTTAAGCATTTTCCCAAATTAACAGTGAAAGTTATGTCTATTTAACCTGCAGCCTGTGGATGTGGCGGGTTAAAAACAGATTTTAATGGACTTTAAATGAAATATAAAATAGTTAAGAGTCTGGTGCATCCTGCAGTCATTTGACATGCATTAAAAACTGTTGTGAATGTGGTGCATTCAGGAGCACTAGTCCTTCTTACATGGCTTGGATATAGAATTATTATAAACCAAAATGATTTCATTCATAGTCAGGGCCAAAGCCAGAGCCAAAGGTTTTATGAGATTTCATAACACTTTGAAGCAACTTTTGTTAAAGTTAAACTCATCATTCTATCAATGTGCAGAAGCCAGTACTTTTCCCTTGTTGTGTCTATCTGAAGGCCAAGCTACATGGCACCGTGGAAGCTGCTGATTGGAGGTCTCCATGCCTCCGCTCTGTATAATACACTTGCATTCTATTGTATCTGTGATCGTGTGCTTTGTTTGTGCTGTCTCTACCATCGACAATAAAACATGTCTTCTGTCTGAATGTAAGACGCGATCCCAGACTATGTCATCTTCTTCAGGTGGTGGAGAATGCGGGCATTGTCTGTAACATCTAGAGAACAGAAGACTCTTTTTTTTTACACAAAAAGTGTTTTTTTTTTAAGCCAAAACTGAGAAACCTCAAGAGAATGCATCTGGACCAGCACATGGACAATCTGCACAGCCCCTGATTCCACTCAGGCTGTGAGCTGCTGAGACATGGATAATACCATCGTCCTCTTTTGCAAGGACATAATTTGGAACAATCTGGATTTCTGAATTTGGACATAATTTGGACTGAATTGAATTGCTGAATCTGGACACTGAAGCTGAAACGTGTGATTGAAATAACACGTCACAGAAGAATTCATGGCTCGACACAAATGCAGCCTGAAGAATCCAACACTGAGAAGTGGGAGAGACTGTTTTCAAAGCAATATCTGGAACCACCATCGACTGATGAAGTTTGGTATTTTACTGAAGATTGTTGACAAGTTTTATGAAAGATCTGAACATGTTTTATGAGTTTTATGAGTTTAAGTATTGAGTTCTGAGTTCTGAGTTTTTTGAAGTACCGAGTTGAAGTATTGAGTTATGATGTTATGTTGCTGTTTATCAATCCTGATGGTCACACGTGAATGTATGACCAGAGGGGGGAATATGAGATTTCATAACACTTTGAAGCAACTTTTGTTAAAGTTAAACTCATCATTCTATCAATGTGCAGAAGCCAGTACTTTTCCCTTGTTTTGTCTATCTGAAGGCCAAGCTACATGGCACCGTGGAAGCTGCTGATTGGAGGTCTCCATGCCTCCGCTCTGTATAATACACTTGCATTCTATTGTTTCTGTGATTGTGTGCTTTGTTCGTGCTGTCTCTACCATCGACAATAAAACATGTCTTCTGTCTGAATGTAAGACGCGATCCCAGACTATGTCATCTTCTTCAGTTTCCTTCCCCTGTTCTAATGCATCTAAAGAACACACCTGTTACTAAAACTAATATACTACATCTTCACTTCCTGTTTTTAAGTCTTGTCTTAAACTCACTTTTTCTCATTGGCTTTTAATTGATGTTGTATTATTCATTCTGTTTCTGTAAATGTGTAATTTTTGCCAATTCTTTGTTTTTTTCTAATTGTAATTTTGTGAATGTCTTTTTAGGTAGTACTTTTTGTTGTTTTTATTAGTGCTTTTTACATAAACTGGACCGGACTGGACTGGACCGGATCTACATTTTAACACCCCGTTCTTGTCTTTGCAGAGAAAGTGACGTACGTGGGCCAAAAGATCTGTTTTGTAGTATTTCCTCAGGAAGACACATCAGAGACTGAACCACTCACTTCCTCGAAAGGAGACTGAGAGCTTATTTATCCTCTTTCATTGAGAGATTGATGAAGCCGCCCGAGAATAATGGGTACTTTGAAGTATTTGTACCAACACCAGCATGCCAAGTGTTTTTATTGTGTTGTTTTCTACAGTACCCCTCAGAGAACTGTCTCACTCCAATGGTTCCCTTTGAATGACTCTGGACGTGGGTCTGGGCTCTGTGCCTTATGAAACATGTGTCTATGTCCTGGCTCATGCGGGTATTTTACGAGCGTTTTTGCATGTAACACTACGTTTATATGGCTGCTACCTTAAGTTGATGACTTGATTACTAATGAGCATGACATCCGTTAGCCTCACTGATTATACAAGGGTCCTATATACAGTATAAGGCGGCATTTTTCTCCAAAGTTTTAGCAGTGACAGAAGAATCAAGGCTTGTTAACCTGGACGACATATCCAAACTGAAAGATGGACATTATCACACACACCTTTGATCTTGTGAATTTGTAAAACCTGCCAAACAGCCTGTCAATACGTTTAATAATCATGTTTTTTGGGCTGGCGGTTGTAAAACTCACATTAGTTATTAGAATGTGGTTATAAGTCTTGCTTGTTTTTGCCAAACCCAACTTAACCCAACTCCTCCAAACGTAACCTTTTCTTTAGGCGACAAAGATTTTCTACACTTTCTGTACAGGGACCTGGCTTCCCACAAACCCTGACACCTTTTCATTCTTATAATGACGTTTAGCTTTTTCTTCTTTATCTATTTTAAAGCTTCAGGGCTCTCCTTTGTGTTCGCTTCACACTAAAACGTTGATATGAACTAGAATCACAAGTGCCTTTAATGAGACGTTTTAATGATGCAACTATTTTATAACCCATGCACCTGCTGCTGCCGAATGCCATGTGCCGGATATCTGACACCAACATTGGCCTTTTTAAGAATTTATTCCAGAACATTAACTACAGAAAACAAGAAAAATGGAAGTTTAATGCTCCTGCTGTAAACCTCTTCATACAAAGCACACTCACATGGTTAAAATGTAGTGTAGATAGTTAGATGTTGTCCATTATTCTGCTTTTTCATGCCTGGTTTGTGTCTCTTCAATGTTTGCGAAGTGTTGTCATTCTCTTGGCTGCTGTATTGTGTTTTTGTGAAAGACTCACACATTTCTCTGAGGCCTGGGGCTAGAATCTGGTTAAAATCACTCAATAAATCCAAATGATCGCAAACAAGTCGACAAACACCGATATTCAGCTTCACGCAGCTTCTTTAAAACTGAGGAAGCAGCTGCCAGAGCACAGATCTTCACTGACTCCCACTGATCTCTGTCGTTGTGTCCTTGGGCAAGACACTTAACCCCACTTTGCCTGAAGCCCCTGCTGAAAGATCAAGGTTGTGTCGTCACTCACAGAGCAGCCGTCCTCCGGACTCAGCACCTGCAGAGGATCAGTGAGGGGCTGGTGCTCTGTGACTGGTTTGACTGCCACCCCCGACCCAGACATGGATTAAGGGGAAGAGGATGGATGGATAGACACAATTAATAATAAACATGTATCTTTCACTAGAGGTGGTGGCACAGAGTATATAACATCATACAGAACAAGTATAATATAGTCCTCTGCCTGTTCTGAACCTAAACCAGGTCCAACCCTAGTCACACTGAGCTGAACCTAAACCAGGTCTAACCCTAGTCACACTGAGCTGAACCTAAACCAGGTCTAACCCTAGTCACACTGAGCTGAACCTAAACCAGGTCTAACCCTAGTCACACTGAGCTGAACCTAAACCAGGTCCAACCCTAGTCACACTGAGCTGAACCTAAACCAGGTCTAACCCTAGTCACACTGAGCTGAACCTAAACCAGGTCTAACCCTAGTCACACTGAGCTGAACCTAAACCAGGTCTAACCCTAGTCACACTGAGCTGAACCTAAACCAGGTCCAACCCTAGTCACACTGAGCTGAACCTAAACCAGGTCTAACCCTAGTCACACTGAGCTGAACCTAAACCACGTCTAACCCTAGTCACACTGAGCTGAACCTAAACCAGGTCCAACCCTAGTCACACTGAGCTGAACCTAAACCAGGTCTAACCCTAGTCACACTGAGCTGAACCTAAACCAGGTCCAACCCTAGTCACACTGAGCTGAACCTAAACCAGGTCTAACCCTAGTCACACTGAGCTGAACCTAAACCACGTCTAACCCTAGTCACACTGAGCTGAACCTAAACCAGGTCCAACCCTAGTCACACTGAGCTGAACCTAAACCAGGTCTAACCCTAGTCACACTGAGCTGAACCTAAACCAGGTCTAACCCTAGTCACACTGAGCTGAACCTAAACCAGGTCTAACCCTAGTCACACTGAGCTGAACCTAAACCAGGTCTAACCCTAGTCACACTGAGCTGAACCTAAACCAGGTCTAACCCTAGTCACACTGAGCTGAACCTAAACCAGGTCTAACCCTAGTCACACTGAGCTGAACCTAAACCAGGTCTAACCCTAGTCACACTGAGCTGAACCTAAACCAGGTCTAACCCTAGTCACACTGAGCTGAACCTAAACCAGGTCTAACCCTAGTCACACTGAGCTGAACCTAAACCAGGTCTAACCCTAGTCACACTGAGCTGAACCTAAACCAGGTCCAACCCTAGTCACACTGAGCTGAACCTAAACCAGGTCTAACCCTAGTCACACTGAGCTGAACCTAAACCAGGTCTAACCCTAGTCACACTGAGCTGAACCTAAACCACGTCTAACCCTAGTCACACTGAGCTGAACCTAAACCAGGTCTAACCCTAGTCACACTGAGCTGAACCTAAACCAGGTCTAACCCTAGTCACACTGAGCTGAACCTAAACCACGTCTAACCCTAGTCACACTGAGCTGAACCTAAACCAGGTCTAACCCTAGTCACACTGAGCTGAACCTAAACCAGGTCTAACCCTAGTCACACTGAGCTGAACCTAAACCAGGTCTAACCCTAGTCACACTGAGCTGAACCTAAACCAGGTCTAACCCTAGTCACACTGAGCTGAACCTAAACCAGGTCTAACCCTAGTCACACTGAGCTGAACCTAAACCAGGTCTAACCCTAGTCACACTGAGCTGAACCTAAACCAGGTCTAACCCTAGTCACACTGAGCTGAACCTAAACCAGGTCCAACCCTAGTCACACTGAGCTGAACCTAAACCAGGTCTAACCCTAGTCACACTGAGCTGAACCTAAACCAGGTCTAACCCTAGTCACACTGAGCTGAACCTAAACCACGTCTAACCCTAGTCACACTGAGCTGAACCTAAACCAGGTCCAACCCTAGTCACACTGAGCTGAACCTAAACCAGGTCTAACCCTAGTCACACTGAGCTGAACCTAAACCAGGTCTAACCCTAGTCACACTGAGCTGAACCTAAACCAGGTCTAACCCTAGTCACACTGAGCTGAACCTAAACCAGGTCTAACCCTAGTCACACTGAGCTGAACCTAAACCAGGTCTAACCCTAGTCACACTGAGCTGAACCTAAACCAGGTCTAACCCTAGTCACACTGAGCTGAACCTAAACCAGGTCTAACCCTAGTCACACTGAGCTGAACCTAAACCAGGTCTAACCCTAGTCACACTGAGCTGAACCTAAACCACGTCTAACCCTAGTCACACTGAGCTGAACCTAAACCAGGTCCAACCCTAGTCACACTGAGCTGAACCTAAACCAGGTCTAACCCTAGTCACACTGAGCTGAACCTAAACCAGGTCTAACCCTAGTCACACTGAGCTGAACCTAAACCAGGTCTAACCCTAGTCACACTGAGCTGAACCTAAACCAGGTCTAACCCTAGTCACACTGAGCTGAACCTAAACCAGGTCTAACCCTAGTCACACTGAGCTGAACCTAAACCAGGTCTAACCCTAGTCACACTGAGCTGAACCTAAACCAGGTCTAACCCTAGTCACACTGAGCTGAACCTAAACCAGGTCTAACCCTAGTCACACTGAGCTAAACCTAAACTCCTCCGAGACTGGAAACTCAGAAGTTCAAAGTGAACCTGAAAAGTACAAAGTGAACGTCCACAAACAAGCTTCCAGCCACAGGCCCCTGGAGCCGTAAGCTGCTACAGTTCTGTAAATAAGCAGCAGAGAGAAAACTAAGAACCACATTCCTCTGTATGGTGTGAAACGTGTACAATTATGTTACGACACTATAGATGGTGTTAATAAAAAACATTCACATTCAATGACCTGTGTGTTTTCATTCTCTCAGAAATGAAGTTTATTAAATGCACAGAATACAACACTCAGAACTGAAGGCTGCACACTGAGTAATGTCACAATGGCATCAGACACAAATATAAATTCAATAAATAAGAACAGAACTTGCATCTTAGTTTTAGAGCGACAGGCTACACACTCTTTTGTTCAGTTAGTTTTGCCAATTCATCTTTGAGTAGATGAGATTTTTCCAATAATGAACCAATCATTACTACCAACTAATAGTTTTGAAAAAGTCATATGCTTTTTAACAATGTTTTTCGAGTCAATGGAAAGTATGTGTTTTGTTAATGACACAGATATTAGGGTCATAGTGAGTGCGGAGCTCACAAACGCCTGCTTCTTCCAAAACACTGTGTTTTCAGGGTCAACACCTGAACAAACAGTGTCTGCCACAAGTCCTTTTACAAAAGACTTTTCTGTCATAATATTCCCAGAGATTTTTGAGTTTGAGTCAAAACAAATATCCAAAGCTTTAGATGAAGTGTAGCAGATGCACCGCCAATAAAAGCATCGGTCAATTTACAGCAAAAAGCAAAGATGATAAGGCATGATCTGTACAGAGAAGGACTGCAGGAGACAATATGGACAGAAAAGGCATCCTCTATGGCAGCAACACTTCCCTCATGAATGTTATATATATATATATATATATTTATATATATGTGTATATGTATTTGTAATGGCACATTTAGCAGCTGATGAACAAATAATGCATGGCACATTTAGCTTTAAAATGAGAAATAGGCAACAGGCAATGTGCTGTTTAAAGACGTCTCTTAAAGAAGGAAAAACTGGTACATTCTTTATAACACGGTAACGCAGAGCCGCAATATCCTGAACAATGAAGCAGTATAAAAACATCAAGCACTTGAGTAAAGCTTGATTGGCAAAAGGTAGAAAGAGGAGAATGGCATCACATCATTTGAGCATTTACTCACAAAAATAGAGGTCTTTGAATCAGTCGAGACATATTTACAAGTCCACAGCAGTAACCACTTTCCCAGGTCCACATTTGGACACAGTGGACCTCAGTGCACAGAGAGAAGATGAAATGACAGAGGTGGAAATGTCATCATTTTGCTTTTCAAAGATATGTTCTGACATTCTGTTAGACGCTCAGATCTACAGTTCTGTACTGGCCTGGGTCTTATGGCTCACAGTTAAACCGGTGCACCATGGCTGTTGTGAGAGTATTTATGATTTAAGTTTTGAGAACCACAAAATGTGAACGTTCATGTTGCCTCGGGCTGGGTCCATGTGCCTGGTGTGCCTCCTTGTGGACGGTTGATGAACTGCTCTCCTGCAGAGAGTTCCTGCTCAGTGCATCACATTAAGAATATCCACAGACAGGACTGGCCTCAGGAGAGGCCTGCTCTCGCAGAGCGGCTGCGCTCTCCTCTCTTTTTGCATGGTTTCATTCCTCTGTTTGGCACTTCAGGAGTCAAGTCTGAGTCCGAGGGGCTTCCCTGTGAGGGCTCCGAGTCCAGCTGGCCTGTGGGAGTCCGAGAACCACTGGGGAAAACCAGGGGAGACAGCGGAGACAGGGGTCCCAGGGGGGAGTAGCGCCTGACTGCAACTCCTTTAAGGTTCACCGCCAGCTCCAGAACCAGTTTCCTGGAGACCCGGGGGTGGGGGGGGGCAGTAGGTCCCTGTGAAGGGGGGGCAGAGCTGCAGAGAGGAGGGGGCTCACTGGGGCCAAGGTGAGGGGGCTCAGAATGTGTTCTGCTTCTGAGCAGTTCCTCCACTGGACTGTCCACTGTCTGAGACTGAGGCGACAGGGAAGACAGGGGGCTTCCACACAGACAGGGTTGGAGGTTCATGTCGTCATGGCAACAAGAGTGCGATGCCACCGCCGCCTCGTTCCCAAACCCGGTGGCAACCTGAGGCTCAGACGCAGTCCTGTAGCTGTGCAGCCCGAGTGTTATCTGGGGGGGTCCGGGAGAGTCCAGCAAAGGGGCGTGGCCTCTGATGCGAGTCCACAGATGTCCCAGACGGCGACGAGACGAGGAAGAAGATGAACGGCAAGATGAGTGTCGCCTCATCTGACGCCGCATGGCCAAGCGGAGGTTCTGCAGCACGGACGCCTACAGTCAACACATAAAGACAAACTATGGATGAGCAGGTTACAGATGTAAGTTATGTACAACTGACCGTTATAATCATTAATGTAAAGGACAAGGTTTTTATCTCTTGTTTTATAGCAGTTACTGAGATAAGAATGACCGCTCTCACCAGTTAAAACCACATGAACGGTACCATCAGAGGAACCACAGGTCAATTACTCTATGTGTAAAACAATATATCTGTGTTCATCAGAGTGTCAGGCCTATGTCGATTTTGTAAAGTGCTTTATTGGCTGGCGGGGAAAAGTGTCCCTGCAGCCAATACAGATGGCGATCGTTCCCACCCACTATGGCCATCTGTGGAACGAATCAAAACAGTCCAACTGTGACTGAGCCTCACTCAAATCTTCAAATACTTGTAAACGAACGGTCCTTTGACAGACGGTTCTACCTGAGACGGATTATAAGCCGGGAAATCGTCCACTGGAGGGATGAGGCCTTGGGCGATCAGCTGACCATATGAGGGCGGAGCTTCTCTCTGAACAAACTCTGCTTCCATCCGAGTCATCTGTGTTTCAAATGATCTAAAGTGCAGAAGATTAAAGTGAGAAATACAATCATAATCACATCGATAAGCCAGGGGTCCTCAGGGGGCCGGCGTGGGAGCAGGTTTTAGTCCCAAACTGAGCAGGAGCACGACAGACTCCGCCCATTTCCTCAGGTGGGTCCAGTTTTAACCTGAGGATTTGAGGAAAAGAGCGGCGTCTGCTTTGCTCCTGCTCAGGTGGAACTAAAACCTGCAGCCACACCGGTTTCATTCAATTCAATCTATTCTTGTATCGCCCTAAATCACAACAGTAATAATCTCGAAGGACTTTACAAAACCGTTGAATTCGCCAACACGGATCAGAGAATTAACAGTTCAGCAACTTTAAGGATAAGGAACCACCACCGAGATATTAATATTCATTCATTAATTCATTATCTACTTCCAAAGTTCAAAAGAGATTTTTGCAATGTATCAAAAAAGTTTTGCAAATTTGTGTAATGAAAATGCAGCACAATATAACATATATTTCTTTTTAAACAAACATGAACAAACTCTTCATGATTTCGTGTCACAGGTCTTTTGAGGCTTCCAAACAGCCTTCTCTCCATAAGAGGCACAGACTGATCTCCATAAATGATAAATGACAATGATAATTGTCCATAAATGATGATTCATCCAAACAGTGTATATAGTGTACATATATATAAAATATATATAAAAAAAAAATATTATATATATATATATATTTGTATATTAACAGATGTGTAGTATCCTATTATCTCTGTATTTTAAACTTTAAATGTAATGTGTAATAATAATAATGCATCAGTTTTATACAGTGCTTTTCAGGACACTCAAAGACGCTTCACATCATTATCCTCTCTCTCCAAACACGGTGGTGCTAAACTACTACTGTAGCCACAGCTGCCCTGGGGCACACTGACAGAAGCGATGTCTGTGCCATCGGCCCCTCCCACCACCACCAACCATTCACACACACACCACTCATTCTAGGCAATGGGGGTGAAGTGTCTTGCCTAAGGACACAACGGCAGCAGACGGTGGGAGTCGACGGTGACGGTGTTCACAGATATATATATTCCTGAGTACTTCTATCCAGATTATTCTATTCTCACAAGATTATTTTATTATTATTCTTATTTTCAGATTTTTACTTTATTGTCATTTTTATTGTGAAATACTAAGCAAGCTACTGTGATAAGTCTAAATGTCCATAAATATAAGGCCTCATAGCATCGTTGGGCTGACCTGTACTCTCTGTTCCTCAGCGAGTGCAGCTTGAGAGCGCAGCCCAGAGCGATGACGAGCAGAAGGCTGCAGATCAGGCTCCCGATGAGGGCCGCCGTGATCACCTTCCGGGGCACGGCGGCCATGCAGTCCCTCTCGTCGCTGCCGTCCAGACAGTCCTCCTGACCGTCGCAGCGCCACGTCTCGAAGATGCACAGGTTTGTCCCGCAGTGGAAGTTTCCGGGTTGGCATTCGTAGCAGTTCTTCTCGTCGGAACCGTCTGGGCAGCGCTTCTGGTTGTTGCAGCGCTCAGAGGCGGGGTAGCACACGCCGCTGTTGCCCTCGCAGGGGAACTCCCCCGCGGGGCAGATGGGGCAGCCCTCCTCGTCGCGTCCCGATGGGCAGTGCCAGTAGCCGTCACAACGCTGGCGCTCCGAGTAGCAGCCCTGGTCACTACCGCAGGGCCGCTCTCCCGGGAAGCAGTAACCTTTGACCTTCAGAGTGCAGAGTGGAGTCAGATGGTCAAATCATCATCATCATCAACCTCATGCCGCATCAAATAAAAGCATTTTTAACACACTGCAAATGTATCTTATTTTGAGCACATTCTGACTGCCTTAGACAAGATGCCAATGGTACAAAGCCAAATCATCTTGAAATATGTACCTGCTCTACAGCCCAATGCTTTCTCTCCAAAGGGAGGTCTTGAATTTGTTTTGTTTTTTCAAAATGTTGAACATTACTATGTCATGTGATTGCCAAAAAACATAATTCAGTTGATAATAAGTTACCAGAATAAGATAGATAGACTTAGACTTTATTGATCTCACACAGGAGAACTTTACAACAATAGTAGAACAAAGTGCACCTGGTACGTGGCGTTGAATCCATGTCCCGGGCTGTGCGGCTGAGCCAAGTACATGACGCTCATCTGTCCACGACTGGACTCCAGCAGAGCGGGCCGGCGGTTGTTGTGATAGGAGAGAACCTGCAGAAGGTGCTCTGCGCGCTGCTGCAGCCCGTCGTACACGTGCAGCGAGTCCCCGGGGCCCAGCTGGAGGTCCAGCTGCAGCACTATGGGTTTGGGGTCCTGAGTGTCCAAGAGCCAGGAGCACCGGAGCTCTGCCGCCGTGCTTCTGTTTGGACGGAAGAAGTCCGGAGAGGCAAATGTGCCGTAGAAGTTTCCCAGACGTTTCCCGCATGTGGTGTCAGGGCATCCCCTCTCGTCTGTGCCGTCTGGACAGTTTGGAAAACCATTGCAGCGAACAGACGCCGGCAAGCAGCGCGTGGACTGGGCTTGAGTGCACGGGACAGAGTTGAAAGGACAGAGGCCAAACTGAGATTGTGTCGGTGGAGCGCTACAACTGCGCTCATCTGTAGAATCTCCACATTCATCCTGACCATTGCACCTCCAAGAACGAGGAAGACATTTCCCATTCCCACACAGGAACTCGTCCGACTGACAGCTGCTCTGGCCAAGGCGACCTGAGTAAGGGGAAACAACATGAATCAGTATTGTATCAGTTTTGCTTTTCCTCTTTAATCTATGATCACCAACAGTACCTCTAATGTAGGAGAGCCGGAACCCTTGGGATTGACCTGAGCTGTTTGCTTGAGAGTGGAAGGAGATCCAAACACGCCCCCTGGTGGAGATGAAGGGAGGAGGCAGCACAGCACCACACAGCCGCGATTCCCCTTCCCATGTGGGGGTCAGTGCCAGCCAGTCCCCAGAGCAGCGCTCAGATTCAGCCATGTCAAAGTTACGGAAACTGTCAAACCAAACAGACTCCGGTTACAAAATGGTGAGAGGCCCGTAATGAAACATATCTGACTCATTTGAATACCTGATGGTGATGACTTCGCCCTGACCTCCCTGGATGTGCCAGCTGCAGTTTACTCCGGAGGGGTAGTTTAAAGGCCACGAAGGGCTGAAAATGACCCCCCTTCTCTCTGTGTGGACCTCCACTCGCTCACTGCAGCCGCCTGAAGCAAAGAAGTGACCGGGGATGGAGAGTATTCAGTCATTACAACAAACAAGGAGGACTAACAAACACTGCCGACCTGACCTCACGTGTTGTCTATCTGTGCAATGACCACATGTGTCCACTGTCACCAACTCATCTGTGCAATAATAACTTTAAAAATGTCAGACTGTACAACAATATAGAATCAAATCAGTCCTGTTTAGCTTTACATACAACTGAGGGATTTTATATTATTGTTTAACTTTCTTCTTAATGTACTGTGATAATTTATGATTTTAATGCTATCTTGTTTTGTTCAGAACTCCTTGTGTATGAATTGTGCTTTAGAAATAAACTTGCCTCGTCCAATAGTTATGAAAAACCATATGGTCCTTGTGGTTAAATGTTTGAACAGAAAAAAATCTATTTTCCACACAAGGCAAATTAACGACAATGTTATGAAGTTGATTCCAGAAGCACAGGTCACGCAGGGCTGTAGTGAGCAGCAGCAGCAGCAGCAGCAGCAGCAGCAGCAGTAGCAGCAGTAGCAGTAGCAGTAGCAGCAGCAGCAGTAGCAGCAGTAGCAGCAGCAGCAGCGTTAGCAGCAGTAGCAGCAGCAGCAGCAGCAGCAGCAGCAGCAGCAGCAGCAGCAGCAGCAGCAGCAGTAGCAGTAGCAGCAGCAGCAGCAGCGTTAGCAGCAGTAGCAGCAGCAGCAGCAGCAGCAGCAGCAGCAGCAGCAGCAGCAGCAGCAGTAGCAGTAGCAGCAGCAGCAGCAGCGTTAGCAGCAGTAGCAGCAGCAGCAGCAGCAGCAGTAGCAGCAGCAGCAGCAGCAGCAGCAGCAGCAGTAGCAGCAGCAGCAGCAGCAGCAGCAGTAGCAGCAGCAGCAGCAGCAGCAGCAGCAGCAGCGTTAGCAGCAGCAGCGTTAGCAGCAGTAGCAGCAGCAGCAGCAGCAGTAGCAGCAGCAGCAGCAGCAGCAGCAGCAGCAGCAGCAGCAGCAGCAGTTACATCAGGCTCAAGGGAACGACAGAGAAAGATTTCATGGAAACAGACACAAACAAACTAGCACTGACAGCAGAAAGCCAATTGAAGAAAATATATAGTTCATGAGAATCTCCACTGAGTATATTTTGACCTTTGATGATGTTTCAGCTATCATTAATATGCAAATATTATTATTATCAATCCACTGAGGAACTAGTATAACAATACATCAAATAGATTCGTACAAAAATGGCCTTTTATTAATAACTGCTGTTCTTTGCGATCTCATCAAATCAAACTGTCATATTCATACAAAAACAACACCAGTCAGATTTCCCGGCTGAAAATTTTCCATTTCATCACATCAAAAGCCTTCCCTGTAGAGTCTTGGAAATGAATAATAATAATAATAATAATAAAAATAATCATACTACATTTTATCTATCAAGCGCCTTTCTTGACACTCAAGGTCGCCTTACAAGTAAAAAGTACATTTTAAAAACTGAAATGTACTGAAACTTGTCAGACCTATTCCTGTAGAGAAAATATTTGCAGATAAACAATGCACAGTGGGTTTAGTTCAAATATGACCTTGTTCTGGTAAAATGGGGGAGAACTGCCGAATGCATCTTTATGTTGTTATTAAGAGCCCAGTGAAAGTTTGGGCTCAGCAAACGGCAGATGGATATTGATCATTCAGGACCACAATGCATAAGATGTGCTTTTACTGCATCTATAAAAACAGATGTGATAAATCCCAGGGTTAAGATTAAAGCTGAGGGCCATACAGGTTTTCATATTTAGTACATGTTTGTCGCAATAGAGAAACATATTGTAGAAGTAAAATTTAAACTAAAGTAAATATCAGACTACAACATGCCATCTTCATTCTGCAAGTAATATTTTAACTGAGAGATAGTTTTCTGAGTGAAAGCAAGGGACTAGTTTGAATACATGGATCCATATGAATGTATTTTGTGTTCCCATAACATGGTGTGGGGGTTTGGAGAAAAAAAAAATCTCTGCACAGTACACACACACAATAAACACACAATACAACTGCAACATCGTAACACAAATAATATAGCCGTCTATGGTTTAAGTAGGATCCAGGGGGTCCCGTTCTGGGGGCATGGGTGCTGGGGAGAGGGATGCCTGACTGCAGTGAAGCAGTGATGTAATGCTGATAGCACCACATTTGTGAAAGAGCATCCATGTTTCCACCAGCCCTGATTCTTTAGCAACCACAAATCAATACATCCACTGGTTTCAATAATCTGATCGCTTCATCTTTCCACAGCAACTCACATGTGTTCATACATGCCTGCATTCCATGGTTTGGGCTAATTATGAAGAAAGCATTGGGGAAATGAGCAGGTAAACCCCGCGCACTGCTGAAGGGTGTGAGGTACAGTGTTTACGGTCCCTGCTTCAACAAACGGACTAAAGAAATGATGCATAATGTTGAATAATGCGCTAAAACCTGCACTTGCACAACAGATGCTCGGTATATGCACATGGCCAGGCAGACCGTGGTGAATATCATGCATTGTGCCTGTCTCACCTGCACAGATCAGAGCGGAGCGAAGCCACAGCAGCCCCAGCAGCGGCTTCAACAGTCCCATTGTCCGCCCGCCCGGGACCTGCGCCAATTATCTGACCCGGTTCTGTTTCCTCCACATGAGTGCCCTCAGAGACACTGGCATTTGTGTGTTTTTTTACGTCCAAACACAGCGAAAAGCGAACGAGACCTTTTTGTGAAAACCCATTGTGTATTTTGCAGAGAGGCAGAGTTGCAGAGAGTGAGAACGTCTGCGGCCTTCACAATAAAAGTGGACTCTGAAGCAGTTGTAAAGAAAAGATTCTATTGTGTGTGTTTTTGTGAATCAGTGCATGAGGATATTAGTGACACATTCTGAATCATCCTAATATATGGCATGCTTGAGTTGATACAATTTAGATCCAAGAGACAGACGGAAAACATGAAAGTGTCTTACGGAAGTAGCTCTCACCTACTTCCGGTCTTCTGCTCATCATGCACAGCTTTCTTTACTGTTGAAATGAAATGTTTTGTCAAAGGTTGTAAATATAAATTAAAACCATAGACGATAGATCAAAATACACAATCCCAATTATGTCTCTATCCTTTTTGCCAGCTTTTATAAAAGCGTGCTGGCTGTTGTCACGTTTTCTCTTTTTACTGATGCTCTGCTGCCCTCGCGTGGTCATAGTTTGTATTACACAATGTAAAACAAGCTGTGTGTTCTCTATATTCCTTTGTCAGTTCTAAATCCATAAAGAGCAAGTGAATGTGTGTGGCCATGATGAAAGGGGATAATTTGATATATGTAGCAACAGAAAGAACATAGAACGCAAAAGGCACCGCTGGGATTCGAACCCAGGATCTCCTGTTTACTAGACAGGCGCTTTAACCAACTAAGCCACGGCGCCACCGATGACGAAGGATGAAATTTTTGTTTAAGTAATTGTCTTACAGCATTAAACTCTACAAACTGCACGCATTTGACGTTCAGTCCGCATTCCAATCGACCGTATTTATAAAGAACATTTTATAAAACGACTTTCCGCAGAGATAAAAGAGCTACACAGAGCTAAAGGTAAGTTCCCGGACCACATAAATCTTCAGATGCTTCCAGTTCCATCATCTCACTTGGTCTGGTTGAAATAATTGTTCTTACAAAGTACTATTTCCTGTCACATTTTGTTAATATTAAAGAATCCTGATGTCTCTTGTCACTGGTGTGAATATGAACAACAAAATAAGCCATAGTTGTTTCATGGTTTATTGGAGATTTCACCAGCTTCATACACGACTGTGATAAGTGTTCTTTATACTGAACAATTGCAAAGACCAAAGCGAAACAGTCTCAGATGACACAAGCAATTATTTACTTCACTTTTATTTTTCAGCTCACGCAGCTTTGAGTACAGCAGCTGATTTAAGTATTAATAGGCTTCAATATACAAGTAACATTTTTATAGTTTAAAAATATAAAGAAAATGGAAAACAAGTAAAAATGCACAAAGAATAAACATCGCATGTGGGTTGGAATAAATCCAAAAAGATTCACTCTTTTTTTGGGGCCACAAAGAAAACAAATTCCGTATTTTAAAATTTTTCATTGTTGGCCAAAGTTGGATGTGAATAAAGCTAAAATCAGAAAAGAATGAATCAGTCAAAGCTAAATAAACATGCCACTACATCCTTTGTTTATTTTATTCTTTTAGACATTAACAAGTTATCTTTGGATGGCCCTGAATATATTGAATGCTTTTGGATATATACATCGGTCAGTTCCTTAAATTATAGAAAGTACAGAGAGAACATGGGCTTCTTTCCTCCATATTTAAAGCAGAGCCAGGGAATAAGTGTGGATACTATCAAACAGGCCAGTTTGTCAACATCCATAATTTAATGTAGCAAGCAACTAAATTTAAATATGTGAAGTTCCAGACCCAAACTGGCGTCTAATGTGTTTGAGTGCAGGTTTCAGAAGTAGTTCAGAGACGCTCAGAGCTTTCCTCAGACAAAGATCAGACTTAAACACAATGACACCGACACCTCCGACACGAGCCTGAAGAACCTGGTGCACTTTGACAATCCACCTGGTTTAATGAAACAAGTGAAAAGTGGGTTGGAAGGAGCCTACTGGTGGGCACACTGTACCCCATGCCCATGTGGCCCCCCCTCTTCGTCAGAGCTGTCATGATAAGCTTCTCTGCGGTTACTCGAGGAAGAGCTCTGACTGGCATCGTAGTCCTCCAGGTCCACCTCCTCTGTGTCTCCGGTGATGATGGGGGGCTCTGGCCTGGACGGCAGCATGTCCTCCAGCTCCTGCAACACCATCCCACCCCTTTAAGTTTGTTTTCAAATGGAATAAACTGACAACAATGCAGCGACTAACCTGAAGTTTCTCAGGACTGATCCAGTTGTTGTCAGGGAACTGAACCTCAAACTTTATGTAGAGCTCTCCCTTTTCAAAGGGGTTACGATACTGTGGCATTCCCTCTCCACGTACAACTCTTACAGTGCCTGTAAAATTCAGATTCATTTATTTGCAATTTGCAGTAAAACCACATTGGAAAAACGTTGCAAGACTACCCCAGTGTGCACCAGACGGCACACACCAGAGCTCTTGCCACGGCGCCATCTTTACTTTAAGTTAGTTTGTGTTGATGACCAAGCAACAAAACGTGTATAATATTTTACCTGGTTCAATGACTTTTCCAGCAGGATACTTCACAACTATTTGTCTTCCATCTAAATGTTTCAGCATGAACTGGAAACCACACAGAGCCTCGACAAGGCCAAGTTTATAGTTCATCGACAGGTCATTACCCTCTCTCTTGAAAGTCTGAATAAAATACAGCAGACAAAAACATTACTATGTATTTAACAAAAGTAATGCTGTTACAACCCAAAGCCAGCCTCACAATAGGACTCAGACATCAGCAGGTACCATCTCAGGAGGTACATACATCCCAGTTAAACACCTTTCCCAACTGTGGAATGAATAAAGGTTTTCTAAAGTCTGTAGTGAAATTGCGATAACACTGCATTGGCAAAGATTCCTTAAGATTGGGAAATGTATTGAAGAAAAACTACCAAAACTCAGCCTCTCTCTACACCTGGAGTACGGTGTGCTCTTCTGGATGGGACGTTATTGGCTCATAGCTAATGTGTACTTAAATCATATTTTCTTATCTTAGTGCACATACATGATCTGTGAGGTTGGTGCCAAATGTCACCACCACATTAAGTCTAATAGACCAGTGTTTTTCAACCAGTGCACCACGGTCCGTAAGTTAGACTGCCTTTGGAAATTATTATCACAAGTTGACAGCCAAAAAACGCTCAGGGGTTTCTCAACTGATCCAGACTAATGTTGGTGTTCTGAGTCTGAATATCACATGCATGTTGCTCTATCAGGTCAACTGTGTGAGATACAGCCATAGTGTTACGGATTATGTACGTCTGTTATTATGAATTCTGCTTATCAAATTTGATGGAGTAAATAAAAACTGAATGACTTTGGATACGTTGACTTTTATTTCTTGAGGAAAACGGAAAAAACGTCAAAGGTTTCTCAGCTGATGATCTGCAGAAATTTGTTTACGCAAAATTGATTTTAAAAAATATTTCTGCAGCAAAAAATCTTGACCTGATTGAGCAAAACCAAGGTCATTTTCAGACTCAGAGCATCAACATTAGTCTAATTCAGCTGAAAACCCTGGACTATTTTCAAACAATATTTTTTTGTTACCCAGTGTTATTAATTTTCAGCTAATCAGGTGAAAATAATGTACAAAGACAGTGATGTAGAAGAATAGAAAACAGGACTTTCCGTTGTTAATCGTGGCTGCACTTTCATTTTCTTTTCAGTTGGGGGTGTGCCGTGTGATTGTTTTCACTGGAAAAGGTGTGCCCCGACACAGTAATAGACCAATACATAAGATTAATCAACGAACATATTACACACACCTCATGCTCCTTTTCCTGCAGCACCAGAACTATATCCCCCGGCTCAACTCCTGGTGCCTGGTCCGCTTCACCTCCAAATGTGATCTTCTGGCCATGTTTCATTCCTTTGTCCACGTGCACCTCCAGAATCTTGACCTCCTTTATAACCTTCTTGCCCTCACACTTTTTGCAGCGATCCTTCTCACTGATGACTTCCCCTGGAGAGAGATTGCACCACGTGATCACATCTCGTCATATCTGCAACACTTCTAAATGGTTTTCGGTCCGCATTCGTACCTTCCCCGTTACAATCAGTACACACAGACTGCATTTGTTGGACCATCCCCGGAGCCAGCTGCCGAATCATAACACGCATACCACGCCCCCTACACGTTGAACATTTTTGGACAGCTCCCGTCTTACCCCCCTGCCTGAAGAACCACAGAGTGAGCCGGTGCTACTATATACATTATACAAAAGGCGTATATCTTCAAAAATGGCACTTACCCATTACAAGAGCTACAAAGTACATTTTTGCTAAGCTGTAATTTGGTCGTTTTTCCATTATAGAGGTCCTCCAGTGACACCCTGTAAACAGAGACAAAGTCAAAGCTCAAAATTCCCATAGTGTAAGAACAAACTTATTGAATGGTAATGCCTTACTTGAGAGGGTGTACCATATCTTCCCCTCTCCGTCGGCCTCCGTTGCGACTGCGGCCTCCCATGAAAGGATGGCTAAAAAGTCTACTACCAAAGATGTGGGAGAAGATGTCGTCCATCCCCGGGCCGCCTCCACCTCCTTCCCGCAGACCCTGTTCTCCATAGCGGTCATAGAGCTCTCTCTTTTCAGGGTTTGTCAGGACCTCATAGGCAAAGCTGATTTCTTTGAACTTAAATACACAAGAGAAATGGAGATTGAATCAGTCCATCATCACAGAGTATACACAACTACAAATACCAAGGCCATTTATCAAATTAAATGTATTCTTGTATAGCCCTAAATCAGGATATTACTACACAAAACTATTCGCTAACACAGATAAACGAATCAAAACATTTCAAACACATGAAAGGCAATGATAAAAAACAAATAGAGCAATTGGTCCAAAACACCACTTCACAATTGTTCATCTATGACAATCTATTCCACCACTGTCCTTTGAGCCTCCTAGTTATACTTTGTTTGGTTGTCATAAAAATACAGAGAATACTGAGAAAACTGAACGGTAAAATTGGGTGAAGGTTGGCCTTTAAAGGGACCGTCAAGCCTACGAGACAGTGGCTTTTGTCTATCATAAAACATTACAAACAATAAAAGTCTGTAATGTTTGAAACGCACAACACATGAAGAATAGCAGGGAGAGAAGCACCACTGCACAGAGACACCTCATAAGTGTAAATTACTATTTCTTTTTATACCTTGTCACCGGCATTTGGATTCTTGTCAGGGTGATACTCCTTTGCCAGTTTCCGGTATGCCTGCAAGAAAAAAAAAAACAGAATCTTTTACCCACAGCTAAGAGTAGAAATTCATTGTGTGATATTATTTCAACATATAAAACGTGAAAACATGGAGAAGAAAAAACAGGAAAAGAACAACACTGGTTCCCAATAGTAAATAGATGTATAACAAAAGAATGGGTTCACATGACATAATCAGGATCAGGTGTGACGAAACAAGCCGAGCTCTATTGCACCATAATCCTCAACATATGCCTTTGCTTACAGTTGAACTTAGCCAACATTACACAATTATTAACATATTGGAGTTATGGAATGAAACCAGACCACAAAACTAATGAATACAGATTCCTTGTTAAAGAAATTGTTCGGCTGAAAAGTATCATTTTGAGGAGGTGAGCGATTGGCAGATGTGAAAATGGTCAAGAAATTACTCTTGATGCATGTTTTGGGCAACTGTCAAAACTGCCTCTCCATGACATGTTAGTCCCATATGAACCAACTAGGACTGGGTAGCACAGGGACTGGACTCCTGCTGGGACTCTGAGGAGCACAGGGACTGGACTCCTGCTGGGACTCCGAGGAGCACAGGGACTGGACTCCTGCTGGGACTCCGAGGAGCACAGGGACTGGACTCCTGCTGGGACTCCGAGGAGCACAGGGACTGGACTCCTGCTGGGACTCCGAGGAGCACAGGGACTGGACTCCTGCTGGGACTCCGAGGAGCACAGGGACTGGACTCCTGCTGGGACTCCGAGGAGCACAGGGACTGGACTCCTGCTGGGACTCCGAGGAGCACAGGGACTGGACTCCTGCTGGGACTCCGAGGAGCACAGGGACTGGACTCCTGCTGGGACTCCGAGGAGCACAGGGACTGGACTCCTGCTGGGACTCCGAGGAGCACAGGGACTGGACTCCTGCTGGGACTCCGAGGAGCACAGGGACTGGACTCCTGCTGGGACTCCGAGGAGCACAGGGACTGGACTCCTGCTGGGACTCCGAGGAGCACAGGGACTGGACTCCTGCTGGGACTCCGAGGAGCACAGGGACTGGACTCCTGCTGGGACTCCGAGGAGCACAGGGACTGGACTCCTGCTGGGACTCCGAGGAGCACAGGGACTGGACTCCTGCTGGGACTCCGAGGAGCACAGGGACTGGACTCCTGCTGGGACTCCGAGGAGCACAGGGACTGGACTCCTGCTGGGACTCCGAGGAGCACAGGGACTGGACTCCTGCTGGGACTCCGAGGAGCACAGGGACTGGACTCCTGCTGGGACTCCGAGGAGCACAGGGACTGGACTCCCTGGGACTCCGAGGAGCACAGGGACTGGACTCCTGCTGGGACTCTGAGGAGCACAGGGACTGGACTCCTGCTGGGACTCTGAGGAGCACAGGGACTGGACTCCTGCTGGGACTCTGAGGAGCACAGGGACTGGACTCCTGCTGGGACTCTGAGGAGCACAGGGACTGGACTCCTGCTGGGACTCTGAGGAGCACAGGGACTGGACTCCTGCTGGGACTCTGAGGAGCACAGGGACTGGACTCCTGCTGGGACTCTGAGGAGCACAGGGACTGGACTCCTGCTGGGACTCTGAGGAGCACAGGGACTGGACTCCTGCTGGGACTCTGAGGAGCACAGGGACTGGACTCCTGCTGGGACTCTGAGGAGCACAGGGACTGGACTCCTGCTGGGACTCTGAGGAGCACAGGGACTGGACTCCTGCTGGGACTCTGAGGAGCACAGGGACTGGACTCCTGCTGGGACTCTGAGGAGCACAGGGACTGGACTCCTGCTGGGACTCTGAGGAGCACAGGGACTGGACTCCTGCTGGGACTCTGAGGAGCACAGGACTGGACTCTCTGAGACACAGGATGGACTCTGAGGGAGCACAGGGACTGGACTCCTGCTGGGACTCTGAGGAGCACAGGGACTGGACTCCTGCTGGGACTCTGAGGAGCACAGGGACTGGACTCCTGCTGGGACTCTGAGGAGCACAGGGACTGGACTCCTGCTGGGACTCTGAGGAGCACAGGGACTGGACTCCTGCTGGGACTCTGAGGAGCACAGGGACTGGACTCCTGCTGGGACTCTGAGGAGCACAGGGACTGGACTCCTGCTGGGACTCTGAGGAGCACAGGGACTGGACTCCTGCTGGGACTCTGAGGAGCACAGGGACTGGACTCCTGCTGGGACTCTGAGGAGCACAGGGACTGGACTCCTGCTGGGACTCTGAGGAGCACAGGGACTGGACTCCTGCTGGGACTCTGAGGAGCACAGGGACTGGACTCCTGCTGGGACTCTGAGGAGCACAGGGACTGGACTCCTGCTGGGACTCTGAGGAGCACAGGGACTGGACTCCTGCTGGGACTCTGAGGAGCACAGGGACTGGACTCCTGCTGGGACTCTGAGGAGCACAGGGACTGGACTCCTGTTAGTGTCCAGAGTCAGAACTAAACATGAGGAGGCTGCTTTTCAGATTCATGCTGCCAAAATCTGGAACAATCTTCCTGAAAATGTGAGACAGGCCTCCTCTCTGAAAATATTCAAAACCAGGTTAAAAACGGTAATGTTTAGCAGCTTACGATCACAATTATTGTTATTGCCGTGAACACAACAGGAAGTAACACTCAAGGAAATTGCTTTAGCTCTCTGGGGAAAGTGAAGGATTTTATATCTTTATCTTTCTTGTTAATATACTCTGATTATTTATTATTCTAATGCCTAATGTGGCTGCCTCCATCTTGTTTTGTTCAGTACTAAGAGTTGTCTTGTGTAAGAACTGTGCCATACATATAAACTTGCATTACGTATCGTTAACAGCTGCTGGCGAAACCTCCATGACACACACTGGGGCCCAGACTGAAAGTACCCAATGTGTTCACTGCCAAGAGGGTGACACAGACGGCAACACGCTGGAATGACTATTACCAATAACCTTTAGCGTGAGTTAGCATTAGCCGCTAGCTTACCCCGCGTTTCATAGCAACGTAGCATCACAAGCAAAGGCGAGGTCGCTCATTTGGAGACATTTGCTCTAAGGAAGGCGAGGGGATTGTTAGCATTAGCATCATTAACTATGCTACACTAGACATGTGTTTTCTGGCTTCACGTGAGAAACCCAAAATCCACTCTCTAGTCCGCGGACGCTGCATGTTTCACCGGTTAGCTTAGCATTAGCTTAGCATTAGCTTAGCATGGAGGCTAGCTACCTACGCACACCAGTCCATTTCCTGGTCGCAGCATGTCGCCGTGAGCAGGCAAACACTTACAGACCCTTTGGCTTACCTTCTTGAGTTCGTTTTCGGTAGAAGATGGGGACACTCCGAGGAGGTCGTACAGTTTAGTATCAACGGGGGTCGTCATGGTTCTGCTGAGGATGTTGTTCAGCGAGAGGTGAGTGGACAAAGAGACGGAGCCGGTGTCTCGCTCGTGCTCTGCTCAAGTCGCGCGGCCACAGCCTCTCCTGCTCACTGTCGCCCTCGTGTGGTCAAACAGTAAAAGCGCTTCTTCTTCTTCTTCTTCTTCTTTGACTGCTTAACGGCGGATGCGAACTGACTTAGCGCACTACCGTCACCCTCCAGATAGATTGCGTCTGATCAACTATATGGCTCACATCCTTTATAAAAACCTGTAGCCTGCAAGCTACAGAGAAAAAAATAAATAAACATAACTATAAAAAAAAAAAAAAAAAAAACACAAAAAATAAATAACTACACTCTATCCATGACAGTAAAGCGCTGAAGTGGCAGGTACATTATAAAACTAATTATTTAGAGTAGCAATGATGTAAGATTTGCTAGTCACGTCATCATTAACCCTTTAACATTCACTCCTTGAAGAAAGAAATGTAATTTTGTTGTTGTTGGATTTTCTAGGAATGAGTTTATGTAGGAGAACTGCTTTTTCGTCTTTGTACCCCTTTTTATTTTAATTATAGGCCTTTAACATATGGTTGAGATGTAGTTGATGGTACCTAAAAGTGAGATGTCCCAAAGAGGGAGATTTCAGTTCCAAGCTTAAAGTAGATAGTGACTCAAAAGGTGATCTGCCAATTGGTTGGGGAAACCATTAAAGGGTTAAATGGCCCTAATCTGTCAAAAGGCATTGATAAAACATGGCATTTTCGAATACTTCTTTAACTGATAACAGTAGTTCAGCCGGGATATTCAAATTTCAACATTTTTGTATTTACAGCCCCTAAATCTTGTTGTTTTGTGGCGTTTGGGCGACAGTAGCTCAGTTGGTAGAGCATTGGCCTTTGGGCCTGAAGGTTGTGGGTTCAAGCCCACCATAAGACCTACTTCACGACCCCCACTGATGACTGCTGTCATTGCTCCCACTAAAAGATCTCAGCTCCTGTGGACTCAGCACCTGCAGGAGGATCAGTGAGGGGCTGGTGCTCTGTGGACTGGGTGCAGCTCTGGCCACCCCCCACCCAGACATGAATTAAGGGGAAGAAAATGGATGGATGGATGGATGGAAATCTTGTTGTTATATTAATTTTGATGTCCCGCCCTCCACCGTTTTACCAATCAGGAAAGTCTGTGATTCGGGTTGCAAGGAATCACTGTGTCGAGTTAATCTCATTGGTAAATTAATATGTGGCCGCAGAACAAAAAAAGGTCTCATTATGATTCTCAAATCATTGATGACAAAACAAAGAATAAAACAAGGATATCTATCAGAGCCTTTGTGAAAAAGGTGAAGCTTTGTTGTTGACCAAACTCTTGTCTACTCAGCTGTTATGGTCCTGGCTGGATTCGTCCGCATATCTGGCAACCTCAGGGAGAGTGGGCGAGGACTATTGACGTGATTACAGCACCACTTGCTCCTTTAAACTAAGATGTTTTTTTTTCCTGGTTCCAGTATTTTGCCTCAAAACTTATTTTCCGGACAACTTTTACTCCTTACTTTTAAAGCCAGATATCTGTATTTTAATCTCTTTTTTTCAAATCAATAAGACGGATACCACCTCCACCATGTGTTTCTTTATTTGTCTCTTTGTTTTATTTATATCAATTACATATTTTTTATATTAATTAATTAAAAGAGCAAGGTTGCAGATGACACATTTGTAAACTTTTTTGGGAAAATTGGATTCATGTAAGTTTATTGAAGAGAGTAAAGGTATAGTATATAATTAGCCTGATGGGTCAATTACATACAATAAAGTGTATAGTTTTTGTTTTAGCCCCGCACTTACCACAATAGAACTGAAGTATCAATGGCTATTTATTATAGTAATTTCGTTACTAAAATATCTTGTTTTTTGTAATTATCGTTGTTCCGGTGCCGGTTAGGCCGCATCTAACTTGTACATTTCTGTATATAAGAATGGGATATGAGTTTATAAGATTTTTTCTTCTTCATCCTACTCATGTTCTTTCTTTCATGGAATGTATTACTGTTGTATTTGCTGCTTTATTGTGATATTTTGTTGTATTACCATGAAAACAAAATAAATAAATAAATAAATTGTCCTGCTAAGAATGACCTCATTCAGGCGCCACAGTCTCGTCCTAGAGTCCTATTGCATTATAAAGTTTTAACTTCAATTCAGACGGTTCTGTAGTTACTCACAATGTGACCCATTTAGTTACAGGTTTGTTGTTATATTAGAGGAAAATAAAGAAGTCCTATTCTTAGCCCACTCTCAGGTATCGGTTCATATCAGGTATTGGTCGATGTTAAAGCCAATGTTTCCAGATCAGTCTCGGGCTTTGGAAAGAATCAGGTCTCTGTTTATAACTATATTCAGGAGAGTTTCATTTCAAAGTGAACGTTTGCTTCAATCCTGTGAACATTTGTATCTGCTGTTAACAAGCAGATAAAACAGTGACGGCCTTCACAGTGACTGTGGATAAAACAGTGACGGCCTTCACAGTGACTGTGGATAAAACAGTGACGGCCTTCACAGTGACTGTGGATAAAACAGTGACGGCCTTCACAGTGACTGTGGATAAAACAGTGACGGCCTTCGCAGTGACTGTGGATAAAACAGTGACGGCCTTCACAGTGACTGTGGATAAAACAGTGACGGCCTTCACAGTGACTGTGGATAAAACAGTGACGGCCTTCACAGTGACTGTGGATAAAACAGTGACGGCCTTCACAGTGACTGTGGATAAAACAGTGACGGCCTTCGCAGTGACTGTGGATAAAACAGTGACGGCCTTCGCAGTGACTGTGGATAAAACAGTGGCGGCCTTCGCAGTGACTGTGGATAAAACAGTGGCGGCCTTCGCAGTGACTGTGGCGGTGACTTCAGGATGGGAAAAATAACTGTAGCTCTCTTCACCTCTGCTGAAGAGTTTCCGAGTCTTGGTTCCAGTTGTGCTTCAGCCACAGGATAATGTCTAAAATCTATAAAAGTACAAACTAAAAAACATGAAAAAGTGGGTCGTTTGTTTTCCTCTTTTAATGAGACAGAATGGAATCATACAACCAGCTGTTGTGACAAACACACTCACACCGGCGTCTCACTTGTGCTTGTTTTACACATGTCATAGAAAAGGTCTTGATATTCATTTAAATACTTTTATTCAATTAATGAACCACAACAAAATCTTCTTTTTTCTCCCCCATTCTTTTTCTTTTTTCTTTTTTAGAAATGACCACGCATAGCATAATAGCTAATCTCTATACAATTTGGCTCGAGGAGCAAAAATATATATTTCCATCATTCAGCTTCCTAAAATACAGTTTATTTGAGTCTCAATGGGTAAGATCACCATCAAAACAAAATGCCTTCAATATCTATCCATTATGAGCAGCATTTTCTGTATGTATTATTTAAGCCATTACTGGCACCATAAATTGTATATTTGAGTAAATCTATCAGATAAAAACATGAAAAAGATTAATATTGCTTAACATTGTAAGCTTGCTTTTTTAAACAGAAACTGGTTTTAAAAGTACAACACACATTTGACACAACGAAGAACTTAAATAAATTAGAAGACAAACTAGATATTATAGCATATATTTGTGCATGGTGAGTAAATGTAAAATTGAGTCTAGGAAGTTTCTGAGGTTAAATAGTCCTCGGTCAGACCCCTCGTGTGGGTGCAGAACATCAACATAAGTTCCTTTAAATGACCACTGTATTTTTCTCGAAACAGATTTCCACAAGAAGTAGGCGCAGGATGTATCCCCACAAGATAACAGAAGTAAACATTAGCTCTGTCTTCATTTTTCTCTAAAAGTCCATGGACATGGAGCGCTGTTGTGGATCCACTATGGTTGTGCTGTTCCGGGTGCTATTCCCACGCACATTCAGGGTTCCACAGGCCCCTGACATCCCACCGATACCTCCAGCAATGCCACTAGGCCCCGCCATCACTCCTCCTGCCATCCCCATGCCTCCAGGCATAGTCATTCCCCCAGCTATGCCCACAGGGCCTCCCATGCCCCCTCCTGAGATCCCTGACGGTCCTCCCAGAGTGCCCCCTCCGCTGACTCCGCTCATACTGCCAGGCCCACGGCCGTAGATCTCACACGGGATCTCCTCTGTGACGCGGTCCTCGATCACCTGCTGGTCACAGTCATGGTTCTGGGAGTGCTGCTTGTAGCCGTAGCAACTCTTCTTGTAGCTGGAGGTGGAGTTGAAGGTTTTCATCGGCGGCGGCTTAGAGAAGTCATTATGATAAGAGAGCTCCATGGAGCTGAGAGTGGTGTGGCTGTGCTTCATGCTGCCTCCCCCAGTGGTTACAGAACCCTGGGAGCCGCAGTGATGCTCGTGCACACAGCGGGACATAGTGGACGAGCGCCGCAGCTTGTGGAAATTCTCCAGATCCTCCGACAGGTCGGCGAGGTCTGATGAAATCTCTTTGTCTCGAAGAGAAAACAGCTCATAATGAGGCGGGTCAAAAACCTCCTGTAAGCCTGCTTTGTTGAAAACACCCGGTCGGCGAGCCACCACCTTGAAAATACAGAATTAAAAAGAAAACATTAATACATTCAAACATCATGCTATATTTAAAATCAAGCTGTCATTCGAGGCTGTTCTTTCTATTCTGCCATATTTTCTGTGGCTTTCAGTGCAAATGGCTCAGCTCCATCTCCTCAGTAATCTCTCCCATTCCCTCCACCGCATTCATCAAAAATAAAATGTCAGCTACAAAATAGGACTACCTTCTTTCTGGGCTGTTTCATCTGAACAAAGATAGAGATGATTAGAAGAACCAGAACCACGCCAGATGAGATCCCAATGACAGTACCATGTGTCTTAGTGATTTGGTGAAAGAGGCCCCGAGAACGCTTTTCTGCAGAGGACACACATAAATAACATGAGGAAGAGAATCCACATGATCAGATCACATCAGCGACAGGACTCTCACCTATGCAGTGATTCTCATCCCAGGGGTAGACACAGTTCTGAATGCCGTTGCAAACCAGGGAGTTGTTAATACACATGTTACTGTGGCAGAAGAATGTATTCCCTGAACATGGGGCTAAACACAAAAACAACAAAGACACTTGGAGTTAGACAGTGCAATCAAAAATCTTAATTTTGAAATGAAAAATACAGCAAACTAAAAACAGTTTGAAGAAGTAGTTCAGTTGTAACATGTGTATTGTCATGTCCACAGTTGAAATAAATTAATATGAATTAATATGCATTACAAAAACTAAGAAAAAAAACATCAAGTTAAGTAATTTTCCTCGGTTAGATTACTTCCAGTGCTCCTTAAACCTATGCACATGACGTCCAGTGGTTAGCCATGCTTCTAATGTCACTAATAAAGGGTTTTAGTTTTTAGCCATGCTTCTACAACATTCCTCTCCTACATGTTTCTTATTCTGATGTTATTATTATTATTCATTTAGATAATTATTCCTTATTCTGTTTAAATGGTTTTGTATAATCCAGGATGTGCAGGTTTGTAGATGGTTTTGTGCCTTTGTGTCCTGGTTCTGTTCTTGGGCGACAGTGGCTCAGTTGGTCGAGCTTTGGCCTTTCAATCAATCAATCAATCAATCAATCAAATTTTATTTATAAAGCGCTTTTCATACAAAAAGTGTAACACAAAGTGCTTTACAGTTTAGTTAAAAACAATCCAACATGCCCAGCCCTAAACCCTCCTCCCAACAGACCCCCCAAAACCACATTTATAATTATATATACAACCACATGCGTATACACACACACACACACACACACACACACATATATATACACACACACACAGACACACACACACACACACACATATATATACACCCACACACAGACACACACACACACACACACACATCAGGTAAAATAGGTAAAACAATAAAAAGAAATGGGGCTGGGAGCAGATGTAACCGGCTGAAGAAGCGTCATCCAAGGAGCCATCTGCACCAGGAGCAGAGAGCCGGCTGCAGCCACAGGGAACGACACAGGACCCAGAGGAGAGAGGGGCCCCAGGCCCCACCAGGCCCAGGACTCAGACCCCATAGGACCCAGAGGAGAGAGGGGCCCCAGACCCCACCAGGCCCAGGACTCAGACCCCATAGGACCCAGAGGAGAGAGGGGCCCCAGGCCCCACCAGGCCCAGGACTCAGACCCCATAGGACCCAGAGGAGAGAGGGGCCCCAGACCCCACCAGGCCCAGGACTCAGACCCCATAGGACCCAGAGGAGAGAGGGGCCCCAGACCCCACCAGGCCCAGGACTCAGACCCCATAGGACCCAGAGGAGAGAGGGGCCCCAGACCCCACCAGGCCCAGGACTCAGACCCCATAGGACCCAGAGGAGAGAGGGGCCCCAGACCCCACCAGGCCCAGGACTCAGACCCCATAGGGCCCGGAGGAGAGAGGAGGCCCCAGACCCCACCAGGCCCAGGACTCAGACCCCATAGGACCCAGAGGAGAGAGGAGGCCCCAGACCCCCACCGGATCCAAGAGCCAGTCCCCCGAAGCCACAGCAGACCCCAGCTCTCAGTGCAGAGGGCTCCTCCAGAGGAAACACTGGGGACACTAAAACAATACAATAATACAATAGAAAGTAGAACAATAAAATGTGACAATAAAAAGAAAAATGGCAGCTGCCTAATATAATAACAATAGTAAATGGGTAGATACAATACATAATTAAAAATAGTAAATAATAAAAATAAATAAAAATAGAATGTGTCTAAAAACATAAATAGATGTACTAAAAAGCAATAATAAATACTAATCAAAAGCTGCTCTAAAAAGGTCTTTAAGCCTGAAGGTCATGAGTTCGAGCCCACCACAAGACCTACTTCATGACTCCCACTGATGACTGCTGTTGTTGTGTCCTTGGGCAAGACACTTAACCCCACTTTGCCTGAAGCCCCCACTGAAAGATCTCAGCTCCTGTGGACTCAGCACCTGCAGGAGGATCAGTGAGGGGCTGGTGCTCTGTGACTGGGTGCAACTCTGACTGCCACCCCCCGACCCAGAAATGGATTAAGGGGAAGAAGATGGATGGATGGATGGATGTCCTCGTTCTGTACTATGAAAACATGAAACCTAACATAACATGAAAACTTTGATTGTAATTGAGTTTTGGAGGGCTCATCAACTTTTGCTTTAGCCCACTCCTTTTGTTCAGGAAAAAAAAATATATATATATATATATATAAATAAAATAAATAAAATAAATAAAATAAATAAAATAAATAAAATAAATAAAATACATTTTAAAAATCCATCCATCCATCCATTTTCTACCCTTTAATCCATTTCTGGGTCAGGGGGGTGGCAGTCAGAGAGACCACCCAAGTCTCATAGCACCAGCCCCTCACTGACCCTCTGCAGGTGGTGAGTCCACAGGAGGCTGCTCTCTGAGTGTGAGCATAGCCTTGATCTTTCAGTGGGGGCTTTGGGCAAAGTGGGGTTAAGTGTCTTGCCCAAGGACACAACAACAGCAGTCATCAGTGGGAGTCGGTGGAGAAGGTGTAGAGGTGGGAATTGAACCCACGACCTTCTGGCCTTAAGGCCAATGCTGAGCTACTGTCGCCCCCATTAAAAAAAATAAATAAATAAATATTCTGTATGTGTGTGAAATACTTTTACAATGGTAGCCCTTTAAACTTATCATAAATATTTAGTTTATTAGTGAGAAAAATGCACTTTGCCATACCCTTGTTTACTTATACTCAATAAAGGGAATTACTTCAATACCTTAACTTTAACCAGAGCTGTTTTTAGGAGGACTATAAATACACAATCATTTTTAAGACGTTCTCATAGTAGTTTTGCCATCTCTCGTGAAACCTTCCTTGATACTGGTTTGTCTATTCTTCTGATGTCTGTTTTTTCTGATTTATCTGGACATATTGTGACTGAATTAAAGAGTAAATAGTTATCACAGGCAGAGTGCGACAGCTTAGCACCGGGAACAGACCGGCGTAAACATCTTTCATCATCAGCTGTGACTTCTGGGAGATGAGAATACAGCGACTTCACTGAGGTGTAGTGAAGTGATGATGATGAAGATGGAGACCGGAGGTTACTGCACGGTGTAGGGGGAGTTCACTTGGGCCGTTCAACAGGAGCAGATGGTCAGCAGGTGCAGAGAGACGCCTATTGAAATGACTCTGTGAGTGTGTGAGCAGTGAGGGCCAAGACGGAGACTGCCTGGAATTGATGTTGGCTCCAAAGATCGATCCACCGGCAGTCGTGTGGAAGAGCGCGAGCTGAAGGAGAGGTGTCTAGACCCGTGTGTGAGGTAATGTTCTGGAAAATAGCAAACAGACTCGAAAAGGAAGGAAGACGATGAACGAGGCAGAGACAGAAGGTCGAACCACGGACGGTTTCTGTGCTTTTGAATAATCTATGTTGAAATAATCAGGTAACAGCATTTCAGATATCCCAGAAGGCTTTTGTTTTGGGGTTATAAGTCAAAAAGGTTCTGTATTTTGTAGCCAGCATGAGACCTCTAACAAAAAGTCACATGTTGCATTTCAAAACTATTGTTAGCAATTATTTTAGAATGATCGATTTACTGGTTTTGTTTGCTTAAATACATGTTTTTCTGCTACTACTAGACACCTGAATTTCTCCTATCAACAAAGTAAGACATGTATTATCTGCAGGTCCATGTGTAATGTTCACTGATGTTCAGTTTTTATGCTCTTCTGTTTTGGCATTTGACATAAGACATTTTCAAAACATAAAATAAAAAAAGAGAAAGGAAAAACACATCATTTTACAATCTTGTTTTTACAATTTTAAACCAAAAAATGTATCTCTGCAAATATGTACTGTATTCAGTCTTTTCTCTGGTATTGGTTCGTCTCTGGGATCAGTGCAGCCTTCTCTCCTCCTCATTCTCCTGCAGCCTTCTCTGCTCCTCATTCTCCTGCAGCCTTCTCTGCTCCTCATTCTCCTGCAGCCTTCTCTCCTCCTCATTCTCCTGCAGCCTTCTCTCCTCCTCATTCTCCTGCAGCCTTCTCTCCTCCTCATTCTCCTGCAGCCTTCTCTCCTCCTCATTCTCCTGCAGCCTTCTCTGCTCCTCATTCTCCTGCAGCCATCTCTGCTCCTCATTCTCCTGCAGCCTTCTCTCCTCCTCATTCTCCTGCAGCCTTCTCTGCTCATTCTCCTGCAGCCTTCTCTCCTCCTCATTCTCCTGCAGCCTTCTCTCCTCCTCATTCTCCTGCAGCCTTCTCTCCTCCTCATTCTCCTGCAGCCTTCTCTCCTCCTCATTCTCCTGCAGCCTTCTCTGCTTCTCATTCTCCTGCAGCTTTCTCTCCTCCTCATTCTCCTGCAGCCTTCTCTCCTCCTCATTCTCCTGCAGCTTTCTCTCCTCCTCATTCTCCTGCAGCCTTCTCTCCTCCTCATTCTCCTGCAGCCTTCTCTGCTCCTCATTCTCCTGCAGCTTTCTCTCCTCCTCATTCTCCTGCAGCCTTCTCTCCTCCTCATTCTCCTGCAGCCTTCTCTCCTCCTCATTCTCCTGCAGCCTTCTCTCCTCCTCATTCTCCTGCAGCCTTCTCTCCTCCTCATTCTCCTGCAGCCTTCTCTCCTCCTCATTCTCCTGCAGCCTTCTCTCCTCCTCATTCTCCTGCAGCCTTCTCTCCTCCTCATTCTCCTGCAGCCTTCTCTGCTCCTCATTCTCCTGCAGCTTTCTCTCCTCCTCATTCTCCTGCAGCCTTCTCTCCTCCTCATTCTCCTGCAGCCTTCTCTCCTCCTCATTCTCCTGCAGCCTTCTCTCCTCCTCATTCTCCTGCAGCCTTCTCTGCTCCTCATTCTCCTGCAGCCTTCTCTGCTCCTCATTCTCCTGCAGCCTTCTCTCCTCCTCATTCTCCTGCAGCCTTCTCTCCTCCTCATTCTCCTGCAGCCTTCTCTGCTCCTCATTCTCCTGCAGCCTTCTCTGCTCCTCATTCTCCTGCAGCCTTCTCTGCTCCTCATTCTCCTGCAGCCTTCTCTCCTCCTCATTCTCCTGCAGCCTTCTCTCCTCCTCATTCTCCTGCAGCCTTCTCTGCTCCTCATTCTCCTGCAGCCTTCTCTGCTCCTCATTCTCCTGCAGCCTTCTCTCCTCCTCATTCTCCTGCAGCCTTCTCTCCTCCTCATTCTCCTGCAGCCTTCTCTGCTCCTCATTCTCCTGCAGCCTTCTCTGCTCCTCATTCTCCTGCAGCCTTCTCTGCTCCTCATTCTCCTGCAGCCTTCTCTCCTCCTCATTCTCCTGCAGCCTTCTCTGCTCCTCATTCTCCTGCAGCCTTCTCTCCTCCTCATTCTCCTGCAGCCTTCTCTCCTCCTCATTCTCCTGCAGCCTTCTCTCCTCCTCATTCTCCTGCAGCCTTCTCTCCTCCTCATTCTCCTGCAGCCTTCTCTCCTCCTCATTCTCCTGCAGCCTTCTCTCCTCCTCATTCTCCTGCAGCCTTCTCTCCTCCTCATTCTCCTGCAGCCTTCTCTCCTCCTCATTCTCCTGCAGCCTTCTCTCCTCCTCATTCTCCTGCAGCCTTCTCTCCTCCTCATTCTCCTGCAGCCTTCTCTCCTCCTCATTCTCCTGCAGCCTTCTCTGCTCCTCATTCTCCTGCAGCCTTCTCTGCTCCTCATTCTCCTGCAGCCTTCTCTGCTCCTCATTCTCCTGCAGCCTTCTCTCCTCCTCATTCTCCTGCAGCCTTCTCTCCTCCTCATTCTCCTGCAGCCTTCTCTGCTCCTCATTCTCCTGCAGCCTTCTCTGCTCCTCATTCTCCTGCAGCCTTCTCTGCTCCTCATTCTCCTGCAGCCTTCTCTCCTCCTCATTCTCCTGCAGCCTTCTCTCCTCCTCATTCTCCTGCAGCCTTCTCTCCTCCTCATTCTCCTGCAGCCTTCTCTGCTCCTCATTCTCCTGCAGCCTTCTCTCCTCCTCATTCTCCTGCAGCCTTCTCTCCTCCTCATTCTCTTGCAGCCTTCTCTGCTCCTCATTCTCTTGCAGCCTTCTCTCCTCCTCATTCTCCTGCAGCCTTCTCTCCTCCTCATTCTCTTGCAGCCTTCTCTCCTCCTCATTCTCCTGCAGCCTTCTCTCCTCCTCATTCTCCTGTTGCTTGGTTTGTACTTCACCCTGACAGCCTTTCTCACGGATCCAGCAGGACCTATGAGTCCAGTGTCAGAACTGCAGAGGATTACGATGAGGAGGTCCATGAACCCAGACTTCAGTGTGAGGCTGATGTTCCAAATGAATAAGAACGCTGAGCCGTCCGTGCAAAATACAAACTGACTTCAGGAGCAAATAAATGCTGCATTTCTGCAGTAAAGACAGTGTGTTTTGCAGATTTGACTAAACCTTCAGTCTGCTGAATGTGAATGTGCTTAAATGATTTTGTGAAAACGCATCATAGATGCACTGTTAGTGGGAGTATGTAGCTTTTAAAATAACACCTGAAAAAGTATGATGTAAATATGATGTGAAAAATGTCAGACATTGGGAGAATCTTTTTCTTGCTTCCTCCTGGTTTATTCAAGCATTTCTTATTTGTTGCTGAATGATAAATGATAGTTACACACAATATCCATATTGATTCTCATGTCATGGGATGGGTATACATTAAATGTAATTCAGCTCTGTTGTAGTGAGTTTAAATTCTGGTTTCTAAAGACAAAGAATGACACAGAACTGAAGAAAACAAGACCTGACTCACGATCGACAAACGAGGTGAAGAGCATCCGGAAGCGGCTCATTCGGCTCTTCTCGTCCGTCCACATTCGCACCACTCCCACTCCGTTCTCCAACATGACGTCGTTGGCCACCGTGCTGCAGAACTTGGCCTTCAGATTCTCGATGGCACTGCTCCCATCGTACACAGCTACAAAGTTTTTCTTGCACTCGTTGGAGTGTTCCATCTGATAATCCAAGAAGCGGAGGTAGATCTGCAGACACACAACAGGACATGATGAAATCCTGTGTCATATGTACCGTCACACAACATCACACACACAACAGACACACAAAACAGACACATTGTGACGTCAGCGAGAGAGGATGTAAGAGGGACGCACTGGTGTCACCCAGAGGGAATTCTGGGACGTTCTAATGTGGCTCTGACTGCAGCAGCTGGTCTGCAACCTTTTATAGATAGTGAGATCTCAGTTCATTTACAACGTGATTAATTCGTTCTCTTTCCTGAAAAAGGCTTCCTAAAAGTCAGAGAAATACCATGTCATGCCTATGGCCACTGTGCGCTCCCACCTTTGCTCTGCTCTCTCCAAAGAACAGAAGAAAACGAGAGACTGCCTCTGGAAATATCCGTGGAGCTGGAGCTGGAATGAGCAGGTGATATGGATGACATTAAGCAGAGAATAAAGGATTTAAAGCGCCTGGAAAATCACTTTTGGCACATTTCTGGTGGAACTCGGAGAATTAGAATATCATTCAAAAGTTTATTTCTGAAAAGTTCATTTTTGAATAACTTCAAATGTGAAACCATGTGACCAATGTGAATGCTACAGATTAATTACACAACAAGAGACACACGCCAAGTCTGTGTCGTCACTTTATGATCATGGCTGAGTACATTTACAAAACATTATAATTTTCTGAGAGCCACAACTATCCACACTATAGTAAACTAATGCAGTGCCTGTGAGTGTTTAACGCCACGTTTTTTATAACGTCCACTATGTAAAACTGTGAAGCTTTTAAAGTAGCAGTATGTAAGATTCATGTCAAGTCATCATTAAAGGGCCCTAATCTGTCATCACTAAAGGGCCCTAATCTGTCATCATTAAAGGGCCCTAATCTGTCATCATTAAAGGGCCCTAATCTGTCATCACTAAAGGGCCCTAATCTGTCATCATTAAAGGGCCCTAATCTGTCATCATTAAAGGGCCCTAATCTGTCAAAGGCATAAATAAAACATGTTCTTTTCCAATACTTCTTTAACTGATAACAGTCGTTCAGAGATATTTGAATTTCTAAATTACTTTTCCAGCCCATAAATTATTATTATTGTTTTCATTTCGATGTCCCGCCCTCCACCGTTTCACCAATCAGAAAGTCTGTGATCCGGGCGCCATGTTATGGTTTTGGTTTTTGTTCTGCTCCCCTCCCCCCTGTGTTTTGTGTTGCAGCAGAGCAGTGTGTGGCAGGGGCGTGGCTGACTTCTCCTGGTGCTGAGTCTCAACACCTGTGCGTCATCACTAATTAAGACCAGTATGAATGCCTGGATTTCTCAGCACCACACTGCCAGATTATTCCATCGTGCTCGGTAGTTTTTTGAAGCAGCTACATCTAGTCGCAGTTACCTTTGTTTTTGGATACTTACCAGTTTTTCTCCCGTGTGCCTAGATACCGCCTGAGTCGGAGTTGAAGTCGGCCTATTCCCTGCCACCACTGCCTGCCACCACTGCCTGCCTCCAGTTTTGTTGGGAAATAAACTCTTTAAACTTTAGTCCGTAGCAGTCTCTGCTTTGGGGTCCAATTGCTAAACTCAACAGAATAATCTGGCCACAATGGACCCCGCAGAGGTTGAAAGTTTCAAGCAGGCTCTTGCTGAGACTGAGGAGTTCAAACGAGCTGTTACTTCACAAGGAGTTCTTGTTGGACAGCATGGAGCCGCCCTTCAAGAGATCATGGCGTCGCTCCAGAACATCACCGCAGGAATGAATCAGCTCAGCGCTCGTTTAAATGACGTGGCCAGTCAACTTGCCCCGCTCGGACCTCCCGACCAGGCCCAGTCTCCAGACCCAAGCCCCGCACCTGCCTTGCCTCCCACTGGTTTCGCGACGTCACAATGCCGTGAGCCTTTCATACCCACACCTAGCAGGTACTCTGGGGAGATAGGTCTCTGTAAACAGTTCATACATCAATGTATGTTAGTATTTGATCAGCAGCCTCTCACCTACTCCTCTGATAGGTCTAGAGTAGCATTTATAATGAGTCTACTCTCTGGGAAGGCGTCGGCTTGGGCTGTGGCATTATCTAACAGTGACTCTCCAGTTTGTAACAGGCTCAGTTCTTTTACCGCTGAAATGATTAGAGTTTTCGACCATCCTCTGCAGGCTAAAGAGTCCAGTAGCCGTTTGCTTTCTTTGCGTCAAGGCTCAAATTCTGTTTCCACATTTTCCATTGACTTTCGGATTTTAGCTTCTGAGTGTGGGTGGGATGACAAGGCACTTCAAGGTATTTTTTATCGTGGCCTTAGTGAGGAGGTGAAGGACGAGCTGGCGGCTAGAGATGAGACCGCTAACCTTGAGGATCTAATTTCACTTGCCATTAGACTGGACAACCGGCTTCGTGAACGACGCAGAGAGAGGAATTTCCGGGTTAAGAACTATGCCCCTACTTTCCAGCCCAGGTCCTCTCACCCGCCGGAGCCTCCAGCCCTCCGGCCGGACGTGTCTGGTACCTCCTCGGAAGAGCCCATGCAGCTTGGGAGGATGACTCTCACCCAGGCAGAGCGCCAGCGACGTTTTCGAGAAGGACTCTGCCTTTACTGCGGCCAGGCTGGCCACGTCCTGCGCTCTTGTCCCAATCGGCCAAAAGACCAGGCTCATCGGTATCTGGAGGAGCGCTGGTGAGCCATACTCCTGTTGATCCCTCCTCCAAGCGTATTCAACTCCAAGGTACCATTTCTCTCCACACAATTTCTCTTCCTATTAAAGCTTTAGTAGACTCTGGTGCGGATGAGAATTTCATAGACTCTCGGTTGGTTACTGAGGCCAAATTCCCTACTGAACTACTCCCTAAACCTAAAACTGTGTTTGCCCTGGACGGTAGAGAGTTGGCCAGAGTTACTCATCGCACGTTACCTGTTTCCCTGCTAGTTTCGGGTAATCATTGGGAGTTAATTTCGTTTTATATTGTACCGTCGCCGTCAGCTCCATTGGTGTTGGGCCTCCCATGGCTTAGACTCCATAACCCACACATTGACTGGTCTACTCAATCCATTGCCAATTGGAGCTTATTTTGTCACACTCATTGCCTGCACGCTGCAGCGCCACCCTCCAGATTTCAAACTCCCTCTCCTCCCAGACCCATAGATCTGACTCTAGTGCCCCCAGAGTATCACGACCTTAAAGACGTTTTTTCTAAAGACCGCGCATCATCCCTACCGCCACACAGACCCTATGATTGTCAGATTGATCTGATACCTGGTGCTCCATTACCTTCTAGCAAGTTATTTAATCTCTCCAAACCAGAAAGGGAGGCTATGGAGACTTACATATCTGAGAGTTTGGCTGCAGGTCTCATTCGCCCCTCCTCCTCCCCTGTAGGGGCTGGTTTTTTCTTTGTTGAAAAGAAGGACAAAACATTACGACCATGCATTGACTATAGGGGTTTGAATGACATTACAATAAAGAACAAATACCCCCTACCACTTATAGACTCTGCGTTCAACTCCCTTCATCATGCTGGCCTGTTCACCAAACTAGATCTTCGTAGTGCCTATCATTTAGTCAGAATCAAGGAAGGTGATGAGTGGAAGACGGCGTTTAACACACCTCTTGGACATTTTGAATATTTAGTAATGCCGTTTGGATTGACAAATGCACCTGCTGTTTTTCAGTGCCTGATTAATGACATTTTGCGTGACATGCTTAATAGATTTGTGTTTGTTTATTTGGACGATATTCTGATATTTTCAAGGAATAGAGAAGAGCATGTCCAGCATGTAAGAATGGTTTTACAACGGCTCCTGGAGAATAGACTGTTTGTGAAAGCCGAGAAGTGTGATTTCCACGTTTCCTCTGTCAGTTTTCTTGGCTTTGTCGTTGAGAAGGGACAAATCAAGTCAGACCCAGCCAAGACCAAAGCAGTTTTTGATTGGCCCACTCCTACTACCAGAAAGCAATTACAAAGATTCTTGGGCTTTGCAAACTTTTACAGAAGATTCATTCGCAACTATAGTAGCGTTGCCGCTCCACTCACCAAGCTTACCTCTGTCAAGTCGTTTTTTTCTTGGTCCCCTGAGGCAGATGCTGCTTTTGCAAAGCTTAAACACTTATTTTGTTCTGCCCCTGTTTTACGTCACCCTGATCCCTCAGCTCAGTTCGTGGTGGAAGTAGATGCCTCAGAGTCTGGAGTTGGTGCTGTGCTCTCTCAGAGATCCGGCTCCGGTCAGAAGCTGCACCCCTGCGCATTTTTCTCTCGGCAGCTCACTTCAGCAGAGAAGAACTATGACGTAGGGAATCGTGAGCTTTTGGCTGTGGTTCTGGCTCTGAAGGAGTGGAGACACTGGCTGGAGGGGGCATCCCAACCGTTTCTGGTATGGTCAGATCACAAGAATTTATCTTACCTCCGTTCTGCCCGCAGGCTCAATTCCCGCCAGGCTCGCTGGGCCCTCTTCCTGGGCCGTTTCAACTTCACGCTCACTTACCGCCCGGGATCCAGAAATGTGAAGCCTGATGCCTTGTCACGGCAATTCGCCCCTGTCTTCTCTGCTGATCCACCAGAGGACACCATTCTTCCGTCTTCGTGCTTGGTTGGTGCAGCGACTTGGGAGGTGGAGAAGGAGGTTCAGGACGCGCAGGGAGAAGTGCCTATACCTGTGGAGTGTCCGCCAGGATGTCTGTTTGTGCCACCCACTGCTCGGTCTGCAGTACTTCAATGGGGGCATAGTTCTAAGATCGCCTGCCATCCTGGTGTCTTCCGCACACTGACCTTGATTAAACAACGTTTCTGGTGGCCGTCTATGTCGTCTGACACACGTGATTTCGTCTCGGCCTGCTCTGTCTGTGCCCGCAACAAGACCTCTCATCGTCCACCAGCTGGTTTATTGAGGCCACTTCCAATCCCTCATCGCCCTTGGTCCCACATCGCGCTGGATTTCGTTACAGGCCTGCCCCCATCGGATGGTAACTCAGTTGTTTTGACTGTTATTGATCGTTTTTCCAAGTCTGTCCATTTTGTCCCTCTTCCTAAGCTCCCATCTGCATTAGAAACTGCAGATCTTCTTGTTCAGCATATTTTTAGGCTACACGGACTCCCTCAAGACATCGTTTCTGACAGAGGACCCCAGTTCATCTCACAAGTTTGGAAAGCGTTCTGCAGGGCCATGGGAGCTACTGCAAGCTTGTCTTCTGGCTATCACCCACAGACCAATGGCCAGACAGAGCGGGCCAACCAAGATCTTGAGGCAGCATTGCGATGCGTCATAGCCAACCACCCCGCATCCTGGTCCATCCACCTTCCCTGGATCGAATACTCTCACAATACCCTGGTCTCATCAGCCACAGGTATGTCTCCGTTCATGGCTGCCTACGGCTATCAACCTCCACTCTTCCCTACACAGGAAAGGGCTGTAGCTGTACCCTCTATTCAAGGACATTTGAGGAGGGCTCGCAGGGTGTGGACGGAGGCTCGGGCTGCTCTCTGTCGAACGAGGTCTCGTAACCAGATGTTGGCCGATCGACACCGTGTTCCGGCCCCTGAATACCAGCCTGGACAGAAGGTTTGGTTGTCCGCTCGGGACATTCCTTTGCAATTTGAATCAAGGAAGTTATCACCGAGGTATATCGGACCTTTTGAAATTGAGCGCATCATTAACCCCACTGTGGTCAGGTTGCGATTGCCCCCCTCCTTAAACGTCCACCCCTCTTTCCATGTTTCCCTGCTTAAACCTGTGTCCTCCAGTGATCTCTGCCCTCCGGCCGAGCCCCCTCCGCCCCCCCGGGTTGTGGATGACCATCCGGCCTATTCGGTTAGCCGCCTGCTGGGTGTCAGGAGGCGGGGTCGCGGTCTGCAGTTCTTGGTGGATTGGGAGGGTTATGGGCCTGAGGAGCGCTCGTGGGTTCCGCGCTCTTTGATTTTGGACCCTGGTCTTATTAGGGATTTTTACGTTCGCCACCCGGATAAGCCCGGTGGGTCGCCTGGAGGCGCCCTTTGAGAGGGGGGTACTGTTATGGTTTTGGTTTTTGTTCTGCTCCCCTCCCCCCTGTGTTTTGTGTTGCAGCAGAGCAGTGTGTGGCAGGGGCGTGGCTGACTTCTCCTGGTGCTGAGTCTCAACACCTGTGCGTCATCACTAATTAAGACCAGTATGAATGCCTGGATTTCTCAGCACCACACTGCCAGATTATTCCATCGTGCTCGGTAGTTTTTTGAAGCAGCTACATCTAGTCGCAGTTACCTTTGTTTTTGGATACTTACCAGTTTTTCTCCCGTGTGCCTAGATACCGCCTGAGTCGGAGTTGAAGTCGGCCTATTCCCTGCCACCACTGCCTGCCACCACTGCCTGCCTCCAGTTTTGTTGGGAAATAAACTCTTTAAACTTTAGTCCGTAGCAGTCTCTGCTTTGGGGTCCAATTGCTAAACTCAACACGCCAGAACTCACCATGTGGAGCTAATCTCACTGGTAAAGTACCATGTGGCGCAGAACTAAAAAAGCTCTCGTTATGATTCTCAAATCATTATCGACAAAACAAAAAATAAAACCAGGATTTCTATCTTTGTGAAGAAGGTGTTGGTTATAGATTTGTTGTTGACAAAACTCTTGTCTATTCAGCTGTTATGGTCCCAGCTGGATTTGTCTGCATATCTGGCAACCTGAGTCAGGGAGAGTGGGAGAGGCTGCAGTACCACTTTTGGCCACATTTTACTGCTCCTTTAACTTAAACATAAAAAGTAACGTCTTTGTCATTGTACTACCCCCAAACTATTTGAAATCCAAAAATGTTGTTGGAGAGTTAAAAAGAGTCAGACAACATTAGTTTTAACCATGGGGAACCTACACTGGGGACCATCAACAAGAGCTAGTACTTTGCACCAGTTGAGTGATTATGTTGAATATTCTTTAATTTACAGAATTTACATTAAATGACTTCCCTTTGATTATAAAGATACAAATGTATAAGCTGAGGACAGAATCACCAACACAGGATTCTTCAAGTGTCACCTGAAAACAATCCACCTGATAAAAACAATCTGCCTGCCATTACTTATTCCATATTTAAGGTAAAGAAAAAAAAAAAACTTGATTCATCTCATTTTGCGTGTAATAAAGTCAAAGTTTTTTCATTTCATTTTCAACCCCTTTGTCCATTTCTGGGTCAGGGGGGTGGCAATGAGAGCTGCCCCCAATGCTCATGGCACCAGTCCCTCTGATCCTCTGCAGGGGGTGAGTCCACAGGAAGATGGCTGCTCCATCAGTTGAGAAACTGCCTTGATCTTTCAGCGGGAGCTTCAGGCAACGTGGGGTTAAGTGTGTTGCCCAAGGACACAACGACAGCAGTCATCAGTGGGAGCAGTAGGTCCCATGGTGGGAATCGAACTCACGACCTCCAGGCCCAAAGGCCAATGCTCTACCAACTGAGCTACTGAGCTAAAGTCAAAGTACAAAAGTAAATAGACCTTTGAAGAATATTTTAATTTCCATTTAATGTTCAATGTCTTTTCAGCTCAAATACAGAATATATAAACGCATTTCTAGATTTGAGAGCGTCAGATAAAGTCATTTGTTCCTGTGATGCGCACACACTTACACAGATTACGCTGTTTAGAAACACATCTTTCATTTGACGGTGTATTTGACTAAAGATTTTCAGCGATTGTGTTGTAAACATCCCAGAATAGGCCGGTGCCGGTGACTCATGTTGTTGTGGGGGAAGCGGAGCACATCAGATCAAGGCTGTTTCAGAGACGCACATTTCCTCACATCCCAGAACAATATATTCACATCCAGAAGAAAAATGCAAATAAGAAAAAACAGCTAGAAACCAAATGTACTAATAATTGTGACCTTCAAAACAACAAATAATGCGTATGTTTGTACACATACAAGCCACAATATTCCATTCAATTCCATTTTCTTCCGCTTCATCCGTTGCCGGGTCGCGGGGGCAGCAGTCTAAGCAGAGACGCCCAGACTTCCCTATCCACACACACTTCCTCCAGCTCGTCCGGGGGGACCCCAAGGCGTTCCCAGGCCAGCTGAGAGACATAGTCCCTCCAGCGTGTCCTAGGTCTTCCCCGGGGCCTCCTCCCGGTGGGACGTGCCCGGAACACCTCCCCAGGGAGGCGTCCAGGAGGCATCCAAAACAGATGCCCAAGCCACCTCAACTGGTTCCTCTCGAGGTGGAGAAGCAGCGGCTCTACTCCGAGCTCCTCCCGTGTGACTGAGCTCCTCACCCTATCTCTAAGGAAGCAGCGGCTCTACTCCGAGCTCCTCCCGTGTGACTGAGCTCCTCACCCTATCTCTAAGGGAGCAGCCACTCTGCGGAGGAAGCTCATTTCGACCGCTTGTATCCGCGATCTCGTTCTTTCGGTCATTACCCAAAGCTCATGACCATAGGTGAGGAAGGGAATGAAAAACTGGTATAAAAATCTACACTGGTAAGTCTAAAAGTATTTTAATCATTCCCATAGTTTTTACATTACAAGCTTGTGTATGTGTCAGGAGAACAAGTAGTAAAGTAAATGATAACAACATGAAAACAGAACGGTTCTTAAACCTGGGGTACCTCATTTGTATCCTCATAAATTATAACAACAATAATAATCATAAATCATAAATGTTGTGTAAACTATAGAAAGTATTTTAAAAGGAATAAAGGAGGATTTTCCAAAATGTTAGGAAAAAACCGCCCTCCACTTTTTTAACAAAATTCTCTGGTCTGATTGGACGAGCACGTATCACCAGAATGATTGACAGTTGGGAGGACCAATAGTCTTAATGATCCACCTGGAAGTAGAAAATCCTCCTATTTACCTTTAAGTCAACTTTTGTAATACAATTTTGTGATAAAATCAGACCACAACACATAATTTATTAATGAATGTATTTACAAAAATACATTAATTTTTTTGTTGTGTTCTGATTTTATATAAAAAAAAAAGGAAAACATGATCTTCAGTGAGAAATGAGTAATTATTGGATATATATTTGTCATATTTCTACCTGAAAAGCTGATTTAAATATGTGACAGAGGCCAAACATCCAGGTGAAAACTCGTGATAGAAGAAATCTTTTTGGAATAAGTTGGATTTGATTACATTTATTTTTTGTTTATTTGAAAGTTAGGTACCCCAGCTTTAATTTAAAGTACTGTTTTGAAGCCAGAGGGCCATAACACACAGGGTAATGGGCCATATGCATCTCCATGGCCATAGTTTGAACAAGCCTTCTCAAAATACTCTGTGCTGAAGTCGTCCGACAAACTGACCTTGGAGTGCGGAGGAGCCCTGATGGTCCAGATACAGTCCAGGGCTTCTCCGGCCTTCACCTTCTCCTCCTCATCCACCTGACTGGACCGGATGATGCCGTCCGTGCCTCCGATCTCAAACTGGCAATCTGAGAGGGAGAGAGAAGAGATTCAGAACCAGACCCTGCAGTCCTGGATCCAACGGGTCCATAAAGCCTCGTCACACAGGATAGTTCAGACACAGAGAGGGCTGCAGCTCTCAGTGCACCAAATAATACAACACAAATACATTATTATTGTGATTAAATATGGAACATTACCTGATGCTGTTGTTTTGTTTTTGCGGCAACAAGAAAATGATGTCATGAGATGATGTTGGTCTTTTTACAGTCACTTAAAGTAAGAAAAGAAAAACTTTACTGAAAAGGAGAAGGCAGGTATAAGGTTTTTGCTTTTGCCTTCTCCTTTTAAGCTTTCTTTCATTAATTACAGTACTATATGTACCTGTAAAGAATACACTGTAAAACTGCTCAAATAAAAATACTACTACTACTACTACTACTACTACTGCAATGACAGAGACTTTTCTTTGGTCCAGTCTCCAGTCCAGACCTCAGTCCAATCTCTGGTCCGGTCCCTACTACAGACTCTAGCCCTATCTCTACTACTACTGCTACTACTACTACTACTGCTACTACTGCTACTACTGCTACTACTGCTACTACTGCTACTACTGCTACTACTACTACTACTGCTACTACTACTACTACTGCTACTACTGCTACTACTGCTACTACTGCTACTACTGCTACTACTGCTACTACTGCTACTACTACTACTACTGCTACTACTGCTACTACTGCTACTACTACTACTACTGCTACTACTGCTACTACTGCTACTACTGCTACTACTACTACTGCTACTACTGCTACTACTACTACTACTGCTACTACTGCTACTACTGCTACTACTGCTACTACTACTACTACTGCTACTACTGCTACTACTGCTACTACTACTACTACTACTACTACTACTACTACTACTACTACTACTACTACTACTGCAATGACAGAGACTTTTCTTTGGTCCAGTCTCCAGTCCAGACCTCAGTCCAATCTCTGGTCCGGTCCCTACTACAGACTCTAGCCCTATCTCTACTACTACTGCTACTACTACTACTACTGCTACTACTGCTATACTACTGCTACTACTACTATACTACTGCTACTACTACTACAACTGCTACTACTGCTATACTACTGCTACTACTACTGCTACTACTACTGCTACTACTACTACTACTACTGCTACTACTGCTACTACTACTGCTACTACTGCTACTACTACTACTACTACTGCTACTACTGCTACTACTGCTACTACTACTGCTACTACTACTACTACTACAACTACAACTACTACTACAACTACTACCACTACTACTACTACTAATACTACAACTACGATGACAGAGACTTTTCTTTGGTCCAGTCTCTAGTCCAGTCTCTAGTCCAGTCTCCAGTCCAGACCTCTGTCCCATCTCTAGTCCGGTCCCTACTACAGACCCTAGCCCTATCCCTACTACTACTACTACTACTGATCCTACTACTATTCAAAAAGTATATTAAAATGGAGAAAAGTATTCATAGATAATAATAAAAAAACAATTCAGTATATGTTTATGATCCATTACATACAAACAAATACAAATAAAACCCACATCTTTTTCACAGCCTTTTCACATTCAACATTAATTTAGGGTCTTTGTTTTTAAAAATCTCCTGAAACTAAATAAATAAATAAATAAAAAAATCTCCTGAAACTCAAGATGAAACAAAATCAGCGAAGGAACTAAAAATGACTCTTATGTTTTCCTTCAAATGGCAAATGTTCTGCCTTGGTCCAGTGGTGTTTCAGTGCTGTAATCCCCTCCTACAGAACATAACTCTGTGGGCTGATATTAGTCAGTACATAAGATTATTAATACAGTATACAGAAGATATGCAGGACAAGAAAGTACAAATATTTCAATCTTATTTCACTTTCAACAGCTCATACTTGATTTGAAGGTCTCCGTAGAATTGGTTTATTGAAATGTCTGCTCCAAAGAAAAAGCTGAATCGTCAACTCACAGTCACGGCGGAATTTCTTTCAGTGATGGCTCGATGCTAAAATACTTTATAAACCAAGAATTTGAACTTTACCACTTTGTTTTGATGTCAATGAGCCAAATCTGCATTTATCAGTGTGAGTGCGTGTTCTGAGTCGTGTGCAAGTAACAGGGAAAAAAGCCGTTTTGCAGAAGATTTACACCACGGCATAAGAGGATGTACTTAGAAGATGGAAGACTTTTGACTGCAGTAAATCATCAGCCCACAGTATATTTTGGAGCATTTACACAATCATTGTTTAAAAGTACATGTGCACAAAGTGTATACAGCCAGAGGGTGACCAGGGTAACAGCCAGAGGATCTAAACTTTCAGTTAGAGGGCCACTTTGGTTCACCAAAAATGCCCAGGGGCTGACAACATGTGTTAACTGGTTCTTAGCTGTTCTGAGTTTTAACATTTGGTGTGAAATGTCCATATTGGCTCTATCTTTGACAGAGCTGAAGTTGGCTGAATGACAATGGTTTACTTAGGCCCAGTTTACACGGAGACATTGCAGCAGTAAAACACTATAGTTGGTGTCGGTTGCTACCCCCCGTTCACACGGAGACTGTTCCAGGTGAAAATGTAAGTGTTCAGATCCAGCCTCAGAGTGGGACAGCTCAGATGCTCAGCAGGGGGCGCTCTTTCACACCCACGTGAGGGAAAATCAGGCAACATTCCCTGCCTGATCTGACCCCCACCTCCCGCTGCTCGGCGCACGTACATTTGGACATGCGCAGTAGAACAAACGTAAACAACAATGGCGGGTAGCTAACTAGCTACGTGTGCTTCGAGCGCTGCACAAAGAAGTGAGTATACTGCTGTGGGGGGGTTCTGGGGCTCACGTGTGTCGTGTTGTAAAGTTCCTCTGCCCCCTACTGGCCGGGCGTTAGAACTACATAGTTTTTGATCCTCGTATGTACGCTGTGACATTTGCATTAGGAGCCTGGTCGTTTCTGTTCATAGCAACGTCTGCGCAGCGCCTCCGTATGAACTGAGCCTCAGATACATTAGTACCATACGATCAAAAGTAAATGTCAGTTTAGTCAAAGAAAGTCAACGAATTCCAGATAAAATGAACTTCACAATCAGGTACAACATGTCTATGTTGGCAGAGCTGAAGTTGGCTGGATTACACTGTGAACTTGTCTTCATGAGGACTACTTTTGGGTTAGCAAGGCAAAGGTCCGTATAAAATGAAACAGAGGGCCGCATTTGGCCCCCGGGCCTTAGTTTGGACATGCCTGGTCTAATAACACATTTACGATGGATAGAGCATAGATTATTGTCCTTTTTACAGCTTTTTAAAATCACTTAATCCACTGTATACATTAAAATATCTTTATAAAATTGTTTAACTGTTGCCCCATAAAGCAGTTAACACATTTCAATGTTGCAGCGCACAGACAGGACAGTAGTAAAAGCTCACAGGGAGCACACAAAATAATGTAAGTAAATGCTATGTTTCTTAGCATTATGCTCCAATATCAATATATATCAAAATATATATAACACTGTTTAGTATTATAATCGTTGTTGGCATTATACACCTCGCCCAGGGACAGCAGCTGGAAACTAGCTCTGCAGCTAATGCTGACACATTTACAGAAATGTTCATTAATGTGTAATGTCCCTGTCAAATAAACTAATAATAATATATTTAAATATAAAAAGGAAAGTCATATACAGTACATATAGGGCGAGGTAATAAGTAGATAAAGTAACATTCAGAGGTTTCAGTTTTGCACACTGCACATGATTACAGTATTTACTATGTACAGATATGACATGTACTGGCTCTGAGCTCTCATTGTACAGTCTGACAGCAGCAGGAAGGAAAGATCTATTTTCAGACAAATGACATTTACACAAATCTGCCACAAATCTATATAAAGTATGTAAAACAGAAACAGCATTGCAATGACATGCCAGCATTTAAAATAGGATTCAATCACTGTAGATTCAGACGAGCGACAATAACGCGGCGACAAAAACAACAGATAAAAGGCCGGGCCGCTCTTTCATGTCTTGTACAACATCCCTTTACGCAATTGCCAAAGAAGAAGAAGAGCTCGTCAAGGCACATTTCTGCATTCCCGTCCGCTGTGCAGAGATAGCCTCGGGAACAACTGGGAGAGGAGAGAAAGAGAAAAACCTGTACAGCTTACCTGGGATGGGGTTCAGCAGTCCGCCCACGTGGAGATGGAAATCAGGGTCTGCAACGATAAGATTCAGCAGCACATTAACCTAATCCAGGCGGCGGGAAAAGGTATGCAGAGAACGCTTGATAAGATCCCATTAAGGGCGCCAGATAAAGCAGCCAGGGGCTCATTTGAAGCTAATATCGGTGGCCTGATGGGAGGGTCAGATCCGGAGGCAGATCAAGCTCATAATTCAGCGTGTGTGATGTCTGCTGACCAAGGGCTGCACAGGACACAATGGAAGGGCACATGGACAATCTGTTTGAAATATAGTACTTTTACCTTTACTTTTTTACATCTATGGACTTTTATCAATATTTATGAACATTGGTCTCAGCTCCTTATGGACTAATGGCTCTATGTGTTTCTTCATCATTGCATTTCTTGATTCTTGATTCTCTTATCTGTGTTGGCGAATTCAACGGTTTCGTTAAGTCCTCCGAGAAAATGACTGTTGTGATTTAGGGCGATACAAGAATACGTTGAGTCACTTTTTTACTTCTCTTTTTAAATGGGTTGTTATATGATCAATTAGTGATCGAATAGATTAAGTACGATTACACATTTGTTGCCAGTATCTTCTTGTCTGTGACACATGCAGCTCCTAAGAACTGATTACTGAGGAGGAAAGGAAGGAAGGAAGGAAGGAAGGAGAAGAAGAAGAAGAAGAAGGAGAAGGAGAATAAGAAGAAGAAGGAGAAGAAGAAGGAGAATAAGAAGGAGAAGAAGAAGAAGAAGAAGAAGAAGGAGAAGAAGAAGGAGAAGAAGAAGTTTTTGACATAATATTTTCTTTAGGTCATTTGTGTGTTCATTTTTGGGGATAATCATATTTTTTATCCAAGTTACTTCTAGGTCCAGTTCATTCATATTTTGGATAAGAAAGTCAAAGCAATCACTAAAATAATCTTTGAATATAAATTCTTACATAAACTTTGGGCCATCCTTAAAATGTCTCTATTTCTTATCACTTTGAAGTTATTAAGAAATTGTCCAAATTGAGCGCCTAAAGGGTTAATATTGTGTTCAGAAAAGGTCATTATGATTTGACCCATTATCTGTGAGGACACATAAAAATGTAGATTTAATTCAGAATGAAAACATTACACACAGTGACCTTTATGATCAGAAACTCTTTGGTCGAACCTCCTCACACTAATACACACATTTCCAGAGTAAATGTCAAATATCCACAGTATTTTAAACCACGGATACAGTTTTATTGATATTGTTGCATGTCCCTTTCATTCTTAGCTTTGTTTAATGTCCTCTTTTATATCTACTTGGTTTGGGCCTAGTGTGGAGAGAAAAAGTTCCTTCAGCCAATCAGCTTTCTCTCCATACTCAACATGTGGTTATTGGACGCCATTCATGATTTGTATATTAATGTATTTTATTTTAATTGACATTCATTTAGACACAGATTCTATAATCCATAACTTGAGTATCCAGACCAGTACCAACCGGACCTGCTACTCACTTTTTACATGTGTTAACCCTTTAAAGGAGCTATGCAGAGTTTGCTATTTTTGTGCTCGCGAAGCCCCCTCTGGCCAGACGTGTAACTGCAGCCTCAATGAGTGGCGCTTGCACGAGGAACAGAACAGAAACAGCTGCTATGGTCCTGTTCTCAGCAATTTACAGATTTGTGGGGATGACTTCAACAGAGGTAAGAAATGTTTCTGTTTTGTACGATATTTAGACCAAATCATGTGATACTTAACAAAGTTCATTCCTTGAAGAAAGTAATGTATTTTTTTCCTTTTTTGGATTTTCTAAGATGTAGGACACTAACACCCCAATATTTATTTATTTTTTAACCCTTAGACCTTTGGTTGAGATGCAGTTTGATGTAAAAGTGCCTATAACCAAGTGAGATTCCCCGAAGAGGTATTTTTCAGTTTCAGATAAAGAGACTCAAAAGATGACCCACCAAATGTTTGAGGAAACCATTAAAGAGTTAATAAACTGTTTTAAATTGTAATCTTTTAACTAATTATTTTTATATTGTAATGTTATCAGGGTATTTCGATTGCATTTACACCCAGCCTTTAGGGACTAACAGTTGGAAACGCTGTTTAGCGAATATTGACACATTTACAGAAATGTTGGTTCATGTCAACTGTCCCAACTCAAATAAGACAATTTTAGATCCACTTCATTTATTTATTCATTTTTTTTTTTTTTCCACTGTCCATAAATGTAATTTATCAGTATTTTGTAGGTTGAACTTTAAATTGCAAATTTGTCCAGAAGATACTTGGATAAGATAATTTATTGAGTGTTTTTCCATGATGAATTTTTAAACGTACATTGACAATCCAGTGCCTGAAAGTCACAGGGAAACACTGCTCAAATATGAGTTTTAAGAGCAAAAAAATAATGTAATTAAATTCAAGTAGGTGGTCTCCTGTTTAATAATCTCCATCCATCCATCCATTTTCTTTCCCTTAATCCATTTCTGGGTCGGGGGGGTGGCAGTCAGAGCTGCACCCAGTCACAGAGCACCAGCCCCTCACTGATCCTCCTGCAGGTGGTGAGTCCACAGGAGCTGAGATCTTTCAGTGGGAGCTTCAGGCAAAGTGGGGTTAAGTGTCTTGCCCAAGGACACAACGACAGCAGTCATCAGTGGGAGTCGTGAAGTAGGTCTTACGGTGGGCTTGAACCCACGACCTTCAGGCCCAAAGGCCAATGCTCTACCAACTGAGCCACTGTCGCCCCCGTTTAATAATCTCATCATGAATAAAAAAAGTATGTGCAACAATCAACAATTATCCTTCCATGACACGATGGAAGTGGGACGTTCACAGGGGGAGGAATTTATACTTTTATTTGTTCCTCCTCCCGCTTCTTTTCAAGTTTAAATGACGTGCAGAATTATAATAGTAAATAAATGACTTCACATACATTAAACTCAAAATAAACTCAACTCTAAAACTAAAAGAAATTACATTTCGTACTAAGGTCTGGATTAGCTCCATTGGCTCCGTTAACAGGTGGGAGGGGCTAACTCCTTTTGCAGATTGAAACGATTGGATCTGAGTTTACCGTGACGTATGTAATGCACCCGAGTCTGTCGTTAGCATTTAGCATTTAGCCTAGCTTTAGCCATCCCCTTTGCAGCTAACGGAGCCCGTGGGGAGTAGCGCCACAATTTTTTTCCAGCGATTACATTTGATAAACATTCCTTTTGCTCCGGTTTCAATTTCTTGATAGAACCAGACCAGAATACTTTACTATCTCATTCTTTACCAAACTACAACCTGTCCGTTCGACGCTAACTCTAGACATCACCCACAACTGACTACAACACCCGCCTCCCGCGCTCTCTGATTGGTCGGTCTAAATTCAACCGATTGTAATCTCAAACACAGGGACCAGACCCAGACGTTACAGGCAGGACATGATGATTGAACGGAGAGTACGGATGGATAAGACCAGGCTAGTTTTTACCTGCTATAAATGAGTACTTGATGCGGAAGCCCAGACCCTCCAACTCTTCATCGCTGCTGAACTTGATCCACATGAAGCGACCCGTGGACAGCACCAGGCCCGGGTTCTTTCCTCCACAGAAGCGGTCAATCAGAGGCGAGAAGCCGAACGGTCCGTCCCGAATCTCGATGTGGTCGAAGCGGCACTCGAACGACGGCTCGATGTAGTAGTTCTTGTCGAAAACCAACTGAATCCTTTGTCTGGGGAGAGCTGTTTGAGGCGGAGCAGAAAGAGGCAAAATGAGCAAATCAATCTGGCTTTTGTGAAACTGTCGCATCACGAATGAAAGAAGAAGAATGTTGGGAGGATAAAATACAAAATCGGATTTAATGGCACTTGGAATAATAGTATAAAAACTGTCAGTGAACAAAAACAGCCAAAAAGTTGTTATTTTGATTTATCTATTTCTCTCTGCATTAAGTTATTTGACAAATATCAGCGTTTTGTGTGTGATCAAATTATTATTGGAATGTATTTTTTAAGTTACAAGTTATAATTTTACAGAACTTTCAAGTATAATCAGTTTTTACATTTTTGTTTTAATACACACATGTACGCACACACAAACACACACACAGACATACACGCAGACACACACATGTATGCAAACACACACACACATATGTACATAAAACCACACACGCACACACCTCACACAAACACAAATATACATACCCACACACGCACATGCACACACACCTCCCACAAACACAAACACACACACACACACACACACTATAGATAAACACAAACTAAGTGATACATGAGTTAAAGATATACATTATTTTGTCATTTCCAAGATTAAAGGTGAAGTCAGTGATTTTTTTCCAGATGCATTTTATTAAATATTGTGGGAAAACGTCCCTAAACCCTAAAAGTATCAAGTTATCATGTGTTTTAAAATAGTAATGGAATTGACCAGATGTTTATAGTCTACAAAAAATTAATAACAAATATTTTGGAGCGGACCGATAAAAATTAACCAATGGGATTCGTTCATCTCCAACGAACCAATGGGATGTGTTTACCGCCTTCACCCTCTTCCTGTTTCTCAGAGTGCACCGGAGTCATCTAAAATGACTGAACAGAAAATGCCACTTTCACGTTTGCTTCACTCTCCCTGTTGTGACAAAGAAAAGAAAATGCTGGATGTTTGGTTTGGTGGAGAGGGAGGGGAGGGGGGAGTGGTTTAGAGTTGGTGCTACGGCTAAGCTAACAACATCACTTACTGCATCTTTAAAGGGGAAATTAAAGCCGCAAAAAATAATGAAAATATGCACATGTGTGAATACAGTACATGCTTATAAACACACACATGTACTGAGTAAGATACACACACGAAACACAAAAACAGGATCTGGTTTCCTCCGTCATGGACCTCCACAGAAACAGCTAAATACATGTAAATATGTAATTTGACATAAAATGATATATACAAATATGAATTGCAGGAAGATAATTAGATAATAGTAAATTATTAAAATAAAACAAGATTTCTGTTTACCCAAGAAAAAGCAGCATTTTCTTATCTCTCAAAATCTTTGCCTCAAAAGCACCTTATACATAAATATTGATCCATGACTGATTGATCCATTCAGCCACAACGGTCCATATTACACACACCACAGCGGTCCATAATACACACACCACAGCGGTCCATATTACACACACCACAGCGGTCCATATTACACACACCACAGTGGTCCATATTACACACATCACAGCTGTCCATATTACACACACCACAGCGGTCCATAATACACACACCACAGCGGTCCATAATACACACACTACACCGATCCATATTACACACACTACAACGGTCCATATTACACACACCACAGCGGTCTATATTACACACATCACAGCGGTCCATATTACACACATCACAGCGGTCCATATTACACACACCACAGCGGTCCATAATACACACACCACAGCGGTCCATATTACACACATCACAGCGGTCCATATTACACACACAACAACGGTCCATAATACACACACTACACCGGTCCATAATACACACACTACACCGGTCCATATTACACACACTACAGCGGTCCATATTACACACACCACAGCGGTCCATATTACACACACCACAGCGGTCCATAATACACACACTACAACGGTCCATGTTACACACACCACAGCGGTCCATAATACACACACCACAGCGGTCCATATTACACACACCACAGCGGTCCATAGTACACACACCACAGCGGCCCATATTACACACACTACACCGGTCCATATTACACAAACTACAGCGGTCCACATTACACACACAACAGCGGTCCATAATACACACACCACAGTGGTCCATATTACACACACCACAGCGGTCCATATTACACACACTACACCGGTCCATATTACACACACTACACCGGTCCATATTACACACACCACAGCGGTCCATAATACACACACTACAGTGGTCCATATTACACACACCACAGCGGTCCATACTACACACACTACACCGGTCCATATTACACACACAACAGCGGTCTATAATAAACACACCACAGCGGTCCATAATACACACACGACAGCGGTCCATAATACACACACCACACCGGTCCATATTACACACACCACAGCGGTCCATAATACACACACTACAGCGGTCCATATTACACACACAACAGCGGTCTATAATAAACACACCACAGCGGTCCATAATACACACACGACAGCGGTCCATAATACACACACCACACCGGTCCATATTACACACACCACAGCGGTCCATATTACACACAGTACAGCGGTCCATAATACACACACCACAGCGGTCCATATTACACACACTACAGCGGTCCATATTACACACACCACAGCGGTCCATTCTACACATACCACAGCGGTCCATATTACACACACTACACCGGTCCATATTACACACACTACAGCAGTTCATATTACACACATCACAGCGGTCCATAATACACATACCACAGCGGTCCATATTACACACACTACACCGGTCCATATTACACACACTACAGCGGTCCATATTACACACACCACAGCGGTCCAAATTACACACACAACAGCGGTCCATATTACACACACTACAGCGGTCCATATTACACATACCACAGCGGTCCAAATTGCACACACCACAGCGGTCCATATTACACACACCACAGCGGCCCATATTACACACACTACAGCGGTCCATATTACACATACCACAGCGGTCCATATTACACACACTACACCGGTCCATATTACACACACTACAGCGGTCCATATTACACACACCACAGCGGTCCAAATTACACACACCACAGCGGTCCATATTACACAAACTACAGCGGCCCATATTACACAAACTACAGCGGCCCATATTACACACACCACAGCGGTCCATATTAGACACACTACCGCGGTCCATATTACACACACTACAGCGGTCCACATTACACACACCACAGCGGTCCATATTATACACACCACAGCGGTCCATAATACACACACCACAGCGGTCCATAATACACATACCACAGCGGTCCATATTACACACACTACACCGGTCCATATTACACACACTACACCAGTTCATATTACACACATCACAGCGGTCCATAATACACATACCACAGCGGTCCATATTACACACACTACACCGGTCCATATTACACACACTACAGCGGTCCATATTACACACACCACAGCGGTCCAAATTACACACACCACAGCGGTCCATATTACACAAACTACAGCGGCCCATATTACACAAACTACAGCGGCCCATATTACACACACCACAGCGGTCCATATTAGACACACTACAGCGGTCCATATTACACACACTACAGCGGTCCACATTACACACACCACAGCGGTCCATATTATACACACCACAGCGGTCCATAATACACACACCACAGCGGTCCATAATACACATACCACAGCGGTCCATATTACACACACTACACCGGTCCATATTACACACACTACAGCAGTTCATATTACACACATCACAGCGGTCCATAATACACATACCACAGCGGTCCATATTACACACACTACACTTTTGAAGGGAAAGGGCCACATCTGAACACTTACGGAGTAAAAGTGCTGATGGATAACCTTTCTTTTGCCCTGAGATCTCAGCCTGCGCAGCGCGTGCAGCCATCGAAAGGGAGGAAGCCGACTCCAAAAGTCTCTGCACCTCCACCACCTCGAAGGATCTCAACACCACAACCACCTCAAAGGATCTCAACACCACCACCACCTCGAAGGATCTCAACACCACCACCACCTCAAAGGATCTCAACACCACCACCACCACCTCGAAGGATCTCAACACCTCCACTGTCATCAGCAGCAGCTGCATCATCACCAGCAGCAGCTGCATCATCACCAGCAGCAGCTGCATCATCACCAGCAGCAGCTGCATCATCACCAGTAGCAGCACCAGCAGCACGACCACCACCACCATCCTCATCCCCAGCCTGCTCCAAAGCAGCCACGCCTTCTTCATCTACAGCGCCTCTGAAGCCCCAATCCTCACCCCAGCCTACAGCAGACAGGCCTGTGCTGGGGTTTCCTCAACCACCTGCCCCTCCATTAAAGACTCCCTCGCCACCTCCCAAGGACCTGTCTTGGGTCCCCCCTGCCACGTCCACTCCATCAAGAGAGAATGGGGACACCTCCCTTTGTTTTTCATCCCTGCCTTCACTGTTAGACCTACCTGAACACTCTGCAGGGCTAATAAAATCGGCGATGAAGACTATTCCTCTCACACCCATATTAGCTCGATCTAGAGTCCTGTCCAACATGCTAAACCACTCCCCATATGTACCTCCAAATCCACCTAGGGTTTCCAATTCACCTACAAAAACCACCTCAGCCAGTCCCTCCCCTAACCTCATGACCATTCCACCCCCACTTCCCCCTCGTTCAACATCCAAAACCTCTGCCTCAGCCCACCCCGGCCCTAACCCATCACCAAAAACCCCTCCACCTCCCTGCCCCCCTCGTTCAACACCCAAAAGCCACCCACCTCTCCATCCTCCTCCCCCGCCTTCCCCTTCTCCTCTTTTCTCTAAACACTAGGATGCACAGGGTCTCTGCTTCGCTGCCACTGGCAGTCTAGTTAGAGGAGAGACCCGGCTGGGGCCCTGTCATGAAGCCACCTGTGCCATTCCCTTAGTGATAACACAAAGAATACATTACAGAAAAACATC